TGCATGACAAGTCTCAGAATCTTCCAGACCCAGACATTTTTACATTTGATACATCAGGAGAAACCACAACAAGACCAGTTGCGTCTTATGCATTGCAGATATCTACTTCCCCTACGCCTTGGGATTTCTGGTACGAGCGTGTGGCGGTTGTGGTATTCACTCTTCGGCCAATCTCGGGTCGGGGGCGGAGGCTTGCTTTGTGGGGATTTCGCGGCTTATGGGGTTTGCCTCTGCCCTCGGAGGCCAGCATTTGCACTGCGCACACCCACGGGTGCTGGAGGTTGGTGCCTATTAATTCATCTTGGAGCTTAAAACTCGACATGGACAGGGACTAGGGCCGCAGGCGGCCATGCCACTACTGGCAATCGAGGACGGGTCTCCCGGGGATGCCGGGCGGCACAGATGGTTGGATTTGGCTTTCGGGCGGATCTCGCAGGGGTGGTCTCCCCCTTGCCTTCTTCTCTCTCTCTCTCTTGGGTGGCCTAGTTTGGTCGCGGGACCCACTTGTGCGCCGGTTATTTGGAAGTGGCCAGGGGATTAGTCGCTTGGGAAAGTATGAGCACACACAGGCCCGGCTCCGGACGCTATCTTTTATTTTAGGCAGGGTGTTTGGATCTTGACGCCCTTGTCTACGGGTGATGGATGGCTCGTAGTAGACTTGCTACGGGTGATGATAGGATGGCGAGTTTTCCGGGCTTACACGCAAGTAAATTGACGCAGGCAGGTCGTTGGGCAGGCTCATACGGTCACAGGTGCAGGGTCTCCTGTCCGCGGCAAGGGTGCTCTCTGATTGCCTTAGAGGTTACTAGGAGTCGGGAATATGGAATTTATGGCGGAGGTCGCGTACTTTGTCGCTGGGCTTTCGCGTGCTACATTCTGTGTGAGGCCACTTGGTCCCTGGGGGGTGCTCTTGGGCCTAGACGGTTATGTCCATGGGCTCGTAGGTCGGTCCTCCGGTCCCTCTTTGGTTCGCCCGAATTCATCGTGTCAGTTCTCTTCCCTGGGTTCTTCGGGCCGCCTGCGCTGCGGCGTGTGGGGAGGGGCCTTGAGGCATCCTTGTAGGTTGTCTCTACGGTGAGGGAGCGAGAGGCCCTTGCCCTCTCTCCTCCGATCACGCCATAGGGCGCGTCGGGTTGATGGTTCAGATTGATAGGACGATAGGAACGAAGCGAAATTTTGTGTCCTGCCTTATCGGAAATCATAAAATCCGTCAATCAACATCTCCGTTGCAAACAACTTCTAGTACTTAGCACTTCTTGCTTCTTTCTCGACAAAGCTAGGAATGTAGATAGATATATAGAATCATTTTTTTTCTATATTCATATTCTCGGCCTACTACTTTCCTGTGCGGTGGTGGCCAATCGATTGATGTTTTGTTCGATTAAGAAAACGCGGCGCACGCCGCGTGGATTCGTTCTTATGGACCACATATCCTGAGTAAAAACGTGGGCCCCACACCAGAGTCAGGATGGGGATTTTGCAACACAAACCTAGGAGATTTGTGAGTCACGCATGACAAGTTGCAGGCTGTATTGTAGTGCAGTTTAGCAAGGGAAGCCGCATAACAAATCCACCTCCTCATCCTGTTCACAGCATCACAAATTCCAAAACACGATTGGAAATGGCTCATTACATTACATGCGCATTACAAGTCTTCCGGTCTTTGCAAATCTGCATTACGACTCTGGTGTGGGGAAGTTTTTACTCAGGATACCACACATCAACTCGTCATGCGTAATCGCATGACAAATTTCCTCAGCATGAGAAAGAAAATTTGTAATGCGGATTTAGCCTGAGAAAGAAATTTGTAATGCATGAATGCGATTAGAGTACGAGTGCGATACTTTTGCACAGGATGATTTGTCCTCCAGCTCGTCCCCCGCGTTGTTCCAGCGAATTCGATCCCATATCAAATGCAGAAATGTCTGGGTCTGGAAGAATGCAACTTGTGATGCTGCGTTTGGATGTGTAGAAAATTTGAGTTGCATGAGCAGCAAAAGGATTCTCATTTTTGCTACGCGGAGAGGGCATTTGTCATGCGGAATAGGCATCAAGAATCCCTCAAAAAACCTGTGATGCTAGGGCATGCATCACAGACATCATGGCTCATGCAAGCCGTGCATGACAAGTCTCAGAATCTTCCAGACCCAGACATTTTTGCATTTGATAGCCCAACCCGCCTTGTAACGATCCCTAGCTTAGTCGTCTCGCCGTCCTCTCCGATAATTTCCTGATTCAAGAGCAGAGCGAAGCAATGCATCTCGAGAGAACTACACTATCCTGAGTAAAAACGTCCCCATACCAGAGTCAAGATGGGAAATCTGCTAGACATATCAGCCGACTTTGGTTGTTTCGCATGGCAGGTTTGTCCTCGTAGTGTGATCCTGTTTAGCTAGTTCAGCAGTATCACAGATCTAGCATATCACGGCATTTCTAGCATGACAAATCCCAAAACGCGACTACAAAAAGCTTCTCATGGGGCCGCTTCGCATGAGAAACTTTTTTGGCGTGCAGATTTGCAGCATGACAACTCTCGGGCGGTGGGGACGTTTTTACTCAGAATATACACCAGTTGAACAAGCAGTGACCAGATCATCATCATCTGGCGATAGTTTTCATATCAAACGATGCGAACTCGGCCGCTCTACGTTCTACTTTCCGCTGGATGTATATCAAAAGGAAAAATCCCCCCTCCCCATATCGAGAACGAAATTTGTATTGCTGTAGTTGAGTACACAAATCGACTTGTATTGCTAGAAGGCCAAGAGACGCAGTGGCTCCCTCCTCTGCAGGCAATTTGTCATGCTGTTTCCCATTTCCATTTGCCTCCTGTCATGCTGGAGACGGAAGGCTCTCCTAAGCCTCCCAGCACTACAGTCCGCTTTTGTTGCCTTCTAGCATGACAACATCATTTGTGGTCTCAAATCATGCTACACAAATGATCTCCGCTTCAGTATGGGGAGGGGAGATTTTTCCTTTTGATAATGTAGAGGTTGTGTTCAGAATTGTTGCTGCCAGTGTTCATCTACATCTCTCGTCAAAATTTCACTCTTACCGTCCCTGTGATGGCGGTCGTGGCGATGGCACAGCCGTTATGAAAGTGCACATAGCTCCCCCTCCCCCTCATTTGTCTTGCATGAACAGCAATACAAGTCAAGCGTCTGCAAGAATACAGGTTTTGCATGACAAATTAGTAAATTTGGACAGGAGTGTAGTGCTATTTGGGCTTCCAAAGCTTGTCATGCATAATAGTGACAGGAGGGAAAGCGTGGAGTTGGTATTTTGCATGAGAAATGAGGTGGAACGGGAGTTGTGCACTCTCATAGCCGTCTATCCAAGAAAAAAACTGTGTTAGTGTAGGTCTTTTGGGAAAACAGCATCACAAGTTCGTCTGCCATGACAGGAAAAACTTGTCATGCGCAGATAGGACGGGAAAACACGTAGGAAGCGAGCCTATCATGCATGTAGAGCATGACAAGCGTAACTGTTTTGCATTTTCTGCATCACAGACTTACACTTACACAGTTTTTTTCTTGCATACCGTCGCGCTGTGTTGTGGCGACGAGGACCACGACCTCGTATCAAATGCAAATATGTCTGGGTCTGGAAGGTTGCAACTTGTGATGCTGTCCTTGGATTCTAAAAAAGTTTGTATTGCATGACCAGCAAGAGGGGCTCAGTTTGTGCTACGCAGGAAGGGCATTTCTCATGCGGAATACGCATCAGAAAGCTCTCTGCAAATCTGTGATGCTAGGCCACGCATTACAGGAATCATGGGTCATGCAAAATGTGCATGAGCATGAGATGACAACCCTAGCATCTCTCCAGACCCAAACATATTTGCAATTGATACCTAGGCCGTAAGTACAACACTCTTCCTGGCGAGTGCTGTGGCAGTGGTGCAGATTGTACGCAGCGGAAATAACTGTAGTTCTTTCCTCGGCAGTAGTACTAGCGTGGTCACCTGCATCAACGCGTGCTCCTCCTGGTTGCAAACTAGCACAGTGTCACCAGACTCTCGGCAGAGCATATCCAAGAAAAAAACTGTGTTAGTGTAAGTCTTTTGGGAAAACAGCATCACAAGTTTGTCTGCCATGACAGGACAAACTTGTTATGCGCAGATACAAAGGGAAAACACATAGTAAGCGAGCCGGTCATGCATGTGGCGGTTTCGCTCTACCATACGTTTCGGTGTGATTTGCATACAAAATACAATGCATTTTCTTCCGCTCTCTCATTGGGAAATCCGCGAACTCCGGCGCATCGAAACGGGCTGGCGATTGCACGACGTCGACACCGACCCCGGCTATGAATACAAAAAAAGCATACAAAATCGTATGTATTGATACAATTTGCAATATATACGGGGAAGCGCATCGAAACTACCGCGAAACGCTTTCCCGCCCATACTAGATAGCGCATCGAAACTGCTCAGATGCGCTGCTTCCATGTACTTCGCAGAAGCTTTTGCTTCAGATAAGTCGAGAGGAAAAACGAGCATGTCGAGGGAAAAGCGAACGAGCAAGGAAGTCGGTCCGCCTAGGCTTGTACCTTAGCACCCTGCCCCGCAGGGCTAGAACCACCCCCCCCCCCGTGGCTGCATGTGATTTCGCCTGGCCATTGCGATTTTTCCACAGTGTCCCCGAGAAGATTGCCGCGACACTTAGCGAAGCGCCCCCGCTTTGTTTGAAACACATAGCGACTATAAGCAGCGGCCCTGCCTCCCAAGGTCGTTGTAGGTTGGTAATCAGTGAACCGAGAAACGAAAAAAGCCTTTGCGCTTTAAAAGCAAAAACTATGAACGCCAGCGAGGCAGCGCGTGGCGACCCCCAATGTCGCGCATACTATGCGCGGAACAAGAGACGCGCCGCTCCGTATCGCGACCTAGCAGATCTTCTTCTAGGTTCGCTCTACCAATACATATTTCACACCGAAACTACGGTAGTAGCGAAACGACGTCATGCATCTCGAGCATGACAAGTGTAACTGTTTGGCATTTTCTGCATCACAGATTTACACTTACACAGTTTTTTTCTTGCAGAAGTTCCACTTAGTCCTCCGAGCAACAATGTACGAAACAAAAAGAACAACCAGCGAGTATCCTGAGTAAAAACGTACCCACACCAGAGTTGTCATGCAAATCTGCATGCTTAAAATGTTTGTCATGCGGAGCCCCATGAGAAGCATTTTCTAAGGGTGTTTTGAAATTTGTCATGCTCCAATCAGCATGAGAGACTAGATCTGTAATGCTGCTGAACTAGCTCAAACAGCACTACACTACGCGTCCAAATTTGTCATGCGAAACAAGCAAAGTTGGCCGATTTGTCTAGCAGATTTTCCATCTTGACTCTGGTGTGGGTACGTTTTTACTCAGGATAGCGAGATGGCAAAAAATATCAGCGAGTCGACAAGGCCTGGTCTGCTGCAAACCTGGAATCCGTTACGGCAAGCGGAGGAGTGGTAATCGAGAAGCCGTCCTCGTCCTGGGAAACAAACAGTGTATCAAAGAAAAAGCCGCACATCAGGATCATTATTTTAATTTTGCAGGTGATTCAGTTCTTTCTGATTTAGCATGACAAGTTGCAATCTTCCAGACATCCAGGGAAGATATTGGCGGTACATAGAGGTGTGGAAGGATTGACACGGTCCCCAAAATTTTGCCGCGATTTCTTCTTTTTATTTGTGCTCAGTCGGGTGTATTGGTACTTGTAGCGTAGTGAAAATAAGGCAATATTGATTCACACGGATCAGCTATCCGATCGATCTTGGTGAATCAATATCTGCTTTTTATTCCACTGTACGCTTTTTTTCGTGCAGAGCAGTAGATTCATTTTGTTGACTTAGACTTGATGACCCAAGTGAAGGATGCATACGCTTTTATCGTGAAAAGCAGCCGGCCATGGAAAAGATAGAAAAGGCCCGCGGAGGTGGTCGTGGTGTATCAAATGCAAAAGTGTCTGGGTCTGGAAACTTGTGATGCTAAAATGTGCATGATGAAAACACTTCCGAATTCAGCCCGGCATGACAAGTTCCCAAAACGCTTTCTCATAGGCAATCCGCATGAGAAACTGCGTTTTTGCATGGCAAAAGAGGCTGCGGCTTTTGTTGGTTATGCAATACAGATTTTCTAGGTATGGAAAGTTAGCATTACAAGTTCCAATCTTCCAGACCCAGACATTTTTACAATCCATATGGTGCCGATTTCATTGGTATTAATGCCCGCATCCAAGAACAAAATCTTCTGGTGCGCGTAGAAGTTCTCCTTTGTGCGTACATTTTATGCATCGCAAATACCCCTCGATGTCTGGAAAGAATGAGATTTGTATTGCTAATTTTCGATCAACATACAAAAACCTGTATCGTATGAGCAGCAAAAGGCTGCACTCAGATTGTTGCCACCCGAACAAGAGGGCATTTCTCATGCAGGATAGGCATAGGGAAACCTTCGTAGTAAAAGCTGTGATGCTAGAGCGTATGCATCACAGACATCGCGGGTCATGCACAATTTGCATGACAAATTGCCCCAATCTTCCAGACCCAGATCGATATTTGCAATGGATACATATCTCTTTGGTACAACATTGCCCCAACCTCGGGTGGTCGTGGTAGTATCAAATGTAAAAATGTCTGGGTCTGGAAGAATGCAACTTGTGATGCTGCGTCTGCATTATCTAAAAATCTGTATTGCATGAACAGCAAAAGAGGTCTGGTTTTGGCCACGGCGAGCGGGCATTTCTCATGCGGTATAGGCATCAGAAAGCCCTCACGAGATCTGTGATGCTAGGGCATGCATCGCAGACATCAGGAGTCATGCAAAATGTGCATGACAAACCTTGCATCCTTCCAGACCCAGACATTTTTACACTTGATAGGTAGTACAACTACACAAGAGTATCCTATCCAACAAAAAAACTGTGTAGGTGTAACATTGTACGGAAGAGGAAGAGCAGCATCTTCACAAGTTCGTTTTGCATAATTACAGGCGGGAAATAAACCTGTCATGCGCAGCTAGTAGCAGTGGAAACGGGCGTATGAAGGTGGCCTATGAAGACCGCAGAAATTCAGCATGAAAAGTGACAACTGTTGTACATAATTCTGCATCACAGATTTAGTGCACTCACATAGTCTTATTTTTCTTGGATACATCCTCGAGTGGGGCGGCTCCGGTTCCTATCAAAATGAAAAAAGCCCCCACTCCATATCAAATGGGAAATCTGTGATGCAGGATCTGTGTACACAAATGCGCGCTGCCTTGCAATACGGCATCGCAGCCAGGTCCGCAGCCTCGGGAGGGACATTTGGGTCTAGGTGCTTAGCATTACAAACGGCTGTCCTAAAGGCCCAACAGCATGCCAAACCGCTTTTCTATAATGGGGCGGAAGCTTCTGCACTTGTCCGCTATGCAAGACAGACGTGATTTGTGGTCTCAAATCAGCAAGACAAATTTTCGGAAGCTGCATGCCTTTTCGATATTCGGACGAGGGGGGATTTTTCCTCTCCATAGTTCCACACGGCAGTCTATCAACTGTAAAAATGTCTGGGTCTGGAAGAATCGATGTTTGTCATGCTTGTCTGGCATGAGTCTTAAATCTGTCATGCACGTTACCCAGGAGCTCTATTTTTCTGTGATGCAGAAACGCAGTCTGTCATGCAGAATAGGCAACACCTAGAAGCTCAGAAACTTGTCATGCGGAGCCAGCATTTGTAGCCCCATTATGAGACGCCGCCCAGCATCACAAGTTTCCAGACCCAGACACTTTTACATTTGGTACAGTCCTGGAGCGGTTCCGAAAAGACCACCGTATCAAAAGCAAAAATGTCTGGGTCTGGAAACTTGTAATGCTGCGTTGGGAATAGTGAATGCTCTGTACTGCTGCACAGCCAAGCATGAGAAATATCTGCGCTTCTTTGTGTTGCGTGTTTCGCATGACAAACTGCGTTTTTGCATGACAGGCAAGAGGGTCTCTTCTGTGACACGCATCACAAACTTTTTGGTCATGCCAGACAAGCATGACAACTCTCCCAATCTTTCAGACCCAGACATTTTTGCATTTGATACACGGGAAGATATCGCGACAAAAAAATGCTTCACGGTAACCAATTTGATGGCAAGTTTTGCATCAACACAAGTTTGTCCTACATGCCAGAAAAAATTTCAATTTGCCAATCGATGTCCGTAAACGGAAATAATAAACACGGCGGTTGCAGCAATGATAAACATAAATGCGTTAATATCTTGCATGTTGTGTGGCAAGACAAACACTTCTGTGATCATGCATTTTCATCTGCGTCACAAGTTCATATACAGTGAAACACTTTTTTCTCATTTATAAAAGACGGTGAAGTCCTATCCAAGGAAAAAACTGTGTTAGTGTAACTTCTTTGGAGGAATAGCATCACAAATTTGCTCTGCATGACAGAGAGAGCCTGTCATGCGCGCCTAGTACGTGAAAACACGTACGAAAAGAGCTTCTGATGCATGTCCAGCATGACACGTGTAACTGTTTTGCATTTTCTGCATCACAGACTTACACTTACACAGTTTTTTTCTTGGATAAGTCCTACTACGAGGTTTTGACTCGAAACGCTACACCCTCATATGCATTGCAAATATGTCTGGGTCTGGATCTGGAAGTAGAATGCATGTTTGTCATGCTTGTCTGGCACGACTGAAGAGCTTGTGATGCGTGTCCAAGAAGAGACCCTCTTGCTTGTCATGCAAAACGCAGTTTGTCACGCGGAAACCGCAGCACTAAGCGGCGCAAATATTTCTCACGCTAAGCTGTGCATTACAGAGAACTCACTATTCACAAATCAGCATTACAAGTTTCCAGACATCCAGGGATATTTGCATTTGATACCTCAACCGTTCTCGCGACATTTGCGGAAGGGGCGCCGCTATCCTGTGCAAAAGTATCGTAGTCGTACTAATTGCAGTATATGCATGACAAATCTTCTTTTCAAAGTAAAACAGCATGACAAATTCCATTTCTCATGCTGAGCAAATTTGTAATGCAATTCGTACTAGTACGATACTTTTGCAGTTCATAGCCGCGTCACCTATTACAGTGAAAAATGTTCCCATCCCCAAAGTCGCAAAAATTTGTGATGCATAAGGTTTTCAAATGAAGAACTTTTTATCTATGCGTGAAAGGAGTATGAACCTTTCTGCTGCAAAATCTCGGCGTGTATCGCATCGCTTGCATGACAAGCGCCACTCTTGCTGGGGTCTTTTGCAATGCAAAATTTTTCTATTCACGATTGGAGACCTGTGATCTTCATGCTGATAGCTGCAAGAGGGCGAATGTTTCATTTGGAAAGGTTTGCAACACAAATGCTTCTCAGTTCGGGGGTGGGGGCATTTTTCACTTTGATATCACCTATCGAAAGGAAAAATCTCCCCACCCCATACCTAAACTAAAAATTTGTGATGCAGATTTGTGGTCACAAATCAGCTTTGTCATGCTAGAAGGGAAAAGATGCGGACTGTAGTGCTGGTTGGCGTGGGAAAGCCTTGCATCTTCAGCATGACAGGGGGCAGCTGGAGGAGGGAAACAGCATGACAAATTTCCTGCAAAGGAGGCCACAGCTGCGTCTCTTGGTCTTCTAGCATTACAAGTCGATTTGTGTACTCAAATACAGCATCACAAATTTCGTTTTCGATATGGGGAGGGGGGATTTTTCACTTTGATATCACCGTGTTGCGGTTTATCGGGACGCGACCACGTTCGCGAGCGGCATTATTGTATGCATTGCAAATATGTCTGGGTCTGGAAACTTGTAATGCGAAAGGTGAATGAGAGTTCCATTGCAATACGCAGCCACGCATGACAAATTTTTGGGCTCCTATGTGTTGCGTGTTCCGCATGGCAAGCTGCGTTTTTGCATGACGGGTAAGAAGACCGTTTGGTGCCCATGCATCACAGATTCTTGAGTCATGTCAGACATGCATGACAAATGTAGCAATCTTCCAGACCCAGACACTTTTGCATTTGATACATTGTCCTCCAAGACGGGGGGCAAGAGGAAAGCCGCATCGTCGCAAATGTATTGCGAGGAAAAGTCCCCCCTCCCCATATCGAAAAGGTATGTTTCTGAAATTTGTGTTGGTGATTTGAGACCAGAAATCACGTCTGTCTTGCAAGAAGACAAGTGCAAAGGCTTCCGCGCCATCATGGAAGCGATTTGGCATGCTGTTGGGCCTTAGGGGAGAGCCGTTTGTAATGCTAGACAACTAGACCCAAGCGCCCCTATCTAGGCTGAGGATCTAGCTGCAAGGCCTTACTGCAAGACAGCGCGCGTCTGTGTACGGAAATCCAGCATCAGAAACTTCGTCATGATACGGGGTGGGGGGATTTTTCCCGACAATAAAATGGAGGCTGCGTTCTGACGTCCCTGGTGCCCCGCGGAACCTACAGCTCCAAGCCTAGCAGCGGCGCGGCTGCTCCTTATCAAAAGGAAAAATCCCCCCTCCCCAAATCGAGAAGGACATTTGTGATGCTGGATTTGCGTACACAAATCAGATTTGCCTTGCAGTGAGGGACTCACTGCAGGCTTATATCAAGCCGAAGTGGAGAGGTCTTGGCCTAGGCGCTCAGCATGACAAAAGTCCATGCTGTAGGCCCAACAGCATCTATCACAAACCGCCCGCATAATGCGTGGGGGCCTTTTGGGTTTGCCTTCTTGCAACACAGACACGATGTGTGACCACAAATCAGCATCACAAATTTCCAACAGTATAGCTTTTCAGTGTAGTGGGAGGGGGGATTTTTCCTCACAATACTCCGCCGACGGTGGTCCCCGGTAGCGTCCTCGCCATGGCAGCAACTTGGACCGATATGGATTGCAAATATGTCTGGGTCCTCTGGAAACTTGTAATGCTCAAAGTGAATGATAGACTTACTGCAATAGCAATAGGCAGCTATGCATGACAAATTTTTTGGCTGCCATGTCTTACGTCTTCCGCATGGCAAACTGGGTTTTTGCATGACAGGTAAGAGGGCCTTTTCGTGCCTATGCAACACAGATTCTCGAGTCATGCCAGACAAGCATGACAAACTTGCATTCTTCCAGACCCAGACATTTTTACATTTGATAACCGAGGGCTTGTGGCACTTTGTCGCCGAGGCATTTACGGGACTCTCTTCGCTGCCGGTAACAGAGGCAGGCGCAGTCGAGATCAGCGCGGACGCGCGGCGGGTAGGAGTGCATATCAAATGCAAAAGTGTCTGGGTCTGGAGAAGTGTAGACTTCTCATGCCGATTTTTATATGATCCATGTTGTCTGGAGTGCAGGACCTAGCATGACAGCTTCTGTGAGATCCCTATCATGCCTATCCTGCATGAGAAACTCCCTTTCAACTTGGTCAAAAGTATACCGCTTTTGGGACTCATGCAACAAAGATTTTTGCATGCTCCAGATTTACCATGACAAGTTGCAATCTTCCAGACCCAGACATTTTTGCAATTCATCGTGCACATCGTGGAACAAACCGCGGTATCAAATGTAAAAATGTCTGGGTCTGGAAGAGTACAAACGTGTGATGCGCATTTCAGAACACAGAAAAATCTCTCATGCATAGGCAGCAAAAGTTCCCACTTTCTGTTACCAAAGGCAGGGATTTGTCATGCGGATTCGGCATTGCGGAGGCTTCTCGAAACTTGTGATGCTAGAGCTTCCATGCCAGACCTTCTGTGTCATGCAGAAACAGCATCACTCTTCCAGACCCAGACATTTTTACACTTGATACGCGGGAGGACCTCGGGGAGCCGGGACGGGGCGGTGGGAGCTGAAAAGCACGACGCTAACAAAAGGAAAAATCGCCCCTCCCCATATCGAAATGGAAATCTGTGATGCGGGACTTGTGTACACAAATCGGATTTGTCTTGCAGTAGAGGACTGCGGACAGATACGAACCCGGAGTAGGGAGATTTTGGTGTAGGCGCCTAGCGAGGCAGGCAGGTACTCCGTAGGCCATACAGCATTACAAATTGCCTGCAGAACGCGGCGGGGTTTTTGGATTTGCTTTCATACGGAGACGATTTGTGGCCTCAAATCAGCATCGCAAATTTTCAGAAGTGTCCCGCTTTGGTACGGGGAGGGGGGATTTTTTCTCACAATAGACGCCGAATTCTCCCCTGTTTGTGCATCTGTCGCGGAAGAGCCCCTTCGCGGTGCAGTTCCTGCGGGCCCTGGGGGTGAACCAGTCCCAGCTGGTCTACGGCAGGATCTTATCGTAAGGAAAAATCTCCCCTCCCCATATCGAAAAGGAACGCCTCAAAAAATTTGTGATGCTGATTTGTGACCACAAATCGTGTCTGTCTTGCAAGAAGGCAACGGCATCCGCTCCGCCCCATTATGCAGTCGGTTTGTAATGCTGTTGGTCCTAGAGCATAGGCGTTCCCCATGCTAAGTGCCTAGGCCAAAACCTCTGCGCACTGGCATGATATCGGCCTGCAGTCCCCTACTGCAAGGCAAATGTGATTTGTGTACGCAAATCCAGCATCAGAAATTTTGTTTTGATATGGGGTGGGGGCTTTTTTCACTTTGATAGATCTCGGCGCAAAGGCTTGTCGTCCCCGAAATGGGCGAGTGTGGCAATCCCTCACCCGGCCACGCACAATGGCTTCGCCAGTTCCTGCAGCGAAATTTGGTGGACGCAGCCGACCAGAAAGAAGTCGGGTCGCGGCGACTCCTGGTTCTCATTCGCAGGCGGGGGAGCCGCCCGGTGCGCAATTGGGCCGCAGTGGAGGAAGTTGGCACCCGGTACGCGGACCGTATCAAATGCAAAAATGTCTGGGTCTGGAAGAGTGCGCAACTTGTCATGCAGATTTTCCATGACTCATGAGGTCTGGAATGCAGGAACTAGCATGACAGATTCTGTGAGATCTCTGTCATGCCTATCCTGCATCAGAAACTCCCTCTACATGAGGTCAAAAGTGGACAACTTTTGGTAAGCATGCAACACAGATTTTTACAGGATGCAGACTTAGCATGACAAGTTGCAACCTTCCAGACCCAGACATATTCGCAATGCATAGACCGACACGGACTGCAAGTCTACGTTCATAGCGGCACCGGTTCTCTCCAGAAACATATCGAAAGGAAAAATCCCCCCTCCCCATATCAAAACGAAATTTCTGATGCTGGATTTGTGTACACAAATCCGAGCTGTCTTGCTGGAGAGCACTGCAGGCCCATACCAAGTGTGGGTAGACGAAAGGTTTTGGCCTAGGCGCTTATACATGAAGAACATCCGCGCTGTAGGCCCAACAGCATGACCACAAACCGCCTGCACAATGCGGCGGTTGCCTTCTTGCAAGACAGACGCGATTCGTGGCCACAAATCAGCATCACAAATTTCCAAAAATATGCCTTTTCGGTATGGGGAGGGGAAGTTTTTCCTTTTGATAAAGCAGGCGGCTGCGTTTGCGGCCGCGCACACCATTGTCGGCCCGCACGGCGCCGGCTTAGTGTTTATGGCCGCCGCGCTACCCAAGAAAAAAACTGTGTTAGTGTAACTTTCTTGAAGGAAAAATAGCATGACAAGTTTGCTCTGCATGACACAGAAAACCTGTCATGTGGAGCTAGTATCAGTGAAAACACGTACGAAAAGAGCCTCTGATGCATGTGTCTAGCATGACAGGTGATAAGTGTTTTACATACGTCTGCAACACAAAGTTACACTTACACAGTTTTTTTCTTGGATACGCGCCGCCCGGGGTGCGCATTGTGGAGTTCATGCGGAACCAGTTGAATTTGTGCTACGCGCGCTTGTATGCATTGCAAATATCCCTGGACGTCTGGAAGGATGCAACTTGTGATGCTGCGTCTGAACTCTACAAAAATTTGTATTGCATGAACAACAAAAGAGGTCCAGTTTTTGCCACGGCGAGAGGGCATTTCTCATGCGATATAGGCATCAGGAAGCCCTCAAAAAATCTGTTATGCTAGGGCATGCAAAGCGGACATCAGGAGTCGTGCAAAATGTGCATTACAATCCTTGCATCCTTGCAGGCCCAGACATATTTGCAATTCATAGCTTGGCGCTCTACTTGAGCGCGGACTACCAGTGCATTCCCTACATATCCTGTGCAAAAGTATCGTACTCGTACGTTGTAGTAAAAATCTTCGCAGTTATGCATTACAAATCTAGTTGGTTAGGTAAATCCGCATTACAAATTTAATTTGTAATGCTGAGCCAATTTGTATTGCGATTTGTACTAGTACGATACTTTTGCAGTGCATACTACAAAGACGGCGGCAATGTCTCCATTGCCCTGCTGGAGGAATCGCTCAGCAAATGGACAAGACAATAAAAGTATCAAATGTAAAAATGTCTTGGTCTGGAAATTTGTGATGCTTCTTGGCGTATCATGAGGAGGCCACAAGTGCTGGCTCAGCATGACAAGTTTCTGAGCTTCCAGGTGTTGCCTATTCTGCATGACAAACTGCGTTTCTGCATGACAGAAAAGTGCTGGCGCTCTTGGGTAACATGCATGACAGATTTGAGAGTCATGCCAGACAAGCATGACAAACATGCACTCCTCCAGACCCAGACATTTTTACATTTGATAAAACAGGTCCGAATCGAAAAATGGACAAGAAAAGTTGTGAAATATTAAAAGTTTTACTCCGATGAACAAAGCATAGGTCTAGATTTACCGGGCGCCGAACTTCTCGCACAGAACCTGCACAGACCTTGTCAGGCCGCCGCGCGCAAAAGTTGGCGCAGAGTAAAAACTGCAAGAACGCTTTTCATTTTCTCCGGATCATGTTCATGGTGCATGTACTGCATAGACCACGACGGCCTTCTTACTTTGTTCTGGCGACATTCTATCAGATGCAAATAGGTCTGGGTCTGGAAAAGTGCCAGGTTTATCATGCACATTTTCCATGGTCCGTGATGGCTGTGATGCTTGGCGTGGCGTCACAGCTTCTGCGACGGCTTTCTGATGCTCATACTGCATGAGAAATGCTCTCTCCGCGCAGCAAAAATTGAAGCCCTTTGTTTGCTGTTCATGCAATACAGATTTTATGTACAGTCCAAGGATAGTATTACAAGCTGCATCCTGCCAGACCCAGACATATTTGCAGCTGATGATGCACTCGTGAGTTCCCGCGTGGTGGAGGTGGGTCTCGAGTTGCTTAGTACTTATGCGAAGAAAAAAGTGTTACAGTTACACATTGTGTTGCAGGGCCAGCATGACAGACCACCTCTGTCATGCCGGATATGCATAGGAGCCTCGTTTCATAGGTGTTTTATTCCCGTAGGATTCCTGCATTACAAGTTTTCTCTCTCATGCAGAGAAATTTGTGTTGCCGAATTGACTACAAATGTGTAACTGTAACATTTTTTTCGTGGGATAGTAATCGTGAACAGTTCAGTGGTCCGCGAGATGCCGTTTTCCTCAGGATCTGACGTCGTGTAACTCTCATGCTGGGAAAACAGCATGAGACTATCCTGAGTAAAAACGTACCCACACCAGAGTCAGGATGGGGATTTTGCAACACAGACCTAGGAGTTTTGTGAGTCACGCATGACAAGCTGCACTCTGCAGTGTAGTGCAGGTTAGCAAGTGCAGCCGCGTCACAGATTCATCCGCTCATCCTGTTCACAGCATCACAAATTCCAAAACACGATTGGAAATGGCTCTCATGGGGATGCGCGTTACAAGTCTTCCATTCCTGTCTTTGCAAATCTGCATTACAACTCTGGTGTGGGGACGTTTTTACTCAGGATAGAGACGCATGTTGACATAGTGACGACGAGATGAACTTGAACTGGTTTAAAAATATTTAAATACGTATGCAAATATCAACATGGTTTTTTTTTCCACCTTTTTCCGTATGCTAGAAGAACCACTTCGGGCCCGAAGAGAAGCGGCACTACCGGCGCCACGGTCTCAATCGAAGAGCAGGGCGCCCGCGCTTCATTAAGTGGGCGGCTACGGCAGTCTTCGTGCATCAACTCCCTGCCCTAGAACTCTATCAAATGCAAATATGTCGGGGTCTGGATGACGAGTCCAGAAGTTTGTCATGCAGATTTCAGATGCCCCGCGGGGTCTGGAATGCAGGATCCAGCATGCATGATCACAGGTTTGTTCGCAACGGCTTTGCAATGCGTATTCCGCATGTGAAATGTAGTCTTAGCACGGCCAAAAGAGGGCATCTTGTGCTACTCGCGCAAGACAAATTTTTGTGTGACGTACAGCATGCATCACAAGTCGCACCCTGCCAGGAGAACCAGACATATTTGCATTTGATAAACCCCGTGCGTCAGTCTATGTTGTCTCGTGGACCGCTTGTGAGCGCTGCTGTCTTATCAAGTACAAAAATGTCTGGGTCTGGAAGATTGCCAGGTTTGTCATGCGTATTTTGCATGTTGGCCCACGATGCCTGTAATGCATGACCTAGCGTCACAGATTTTGCGAATGCTTTCTGATGCGTATTCCGCATGCGAAATGTCTCTCCGTGTAGCACAAACTGGACTCCTTTTGCTGGTCTGCCACTCTAACGGTGCCTCACATCGGGTCCGACCCCCGTTAGAGCTTGACCCTATCCCCCCGAGGTCATGCCCAGAGGCATTGGTCGTAAAGGGGGTACAGTGGTTGAGGGGTAAAAAAGGTCATGCAATACAAATTTTTTTGGAATCCGAAGACAGCTTCACAAGTTGCAAAAATCTTCCAGACCCAGACATATTTGCAATGCATATGTCCTCCTCGCTGCAGCTGGAACGGCAGAGGTTGCAGCTCAGACGGAGTATCAAAAGGAAAAGTCCCCCCTCCCCATATCGAAACGAAATTTCTGATGCTGGATTTGGATACACAAATCAGCTTTGTGTTGCAGTAGAGGACTGCACGCAGATCCGGAGCCGAGGTGCGGGCCTTTTGGTGTAGGCGCCTAGCATGGTAGACGGCTGGGCCCCTGTAGGCGTCACAGCATTACAAATCGCCTGCACGACGTAGCGGACGGCCTGCGTGTGTCTGCTTGCAAGACAGACCCGATTTGTGGCCACAAATCTGCATCACAAATTTCCAGGAGGATGCGCTTCCAATATGGGGAGGGGGGATTTTTCCTTGCAATACGGAGGAGCTCTTTGTTTGGGAATATTTTGGTAATGTCTCGGCGCGGCCAACCGACGTGGTGTTGCAGAAATGCCGGCACATAGTTATGCATTGCAAATATCCCTGGATGTCTGGAAGGTTGCAACTTGTGATGCTGTCCCTGCATTTTAAAAAAATCTGCATTGCATGACCAGCAAGAGGAGTCCACTTTGTGCTACTTGGAGACGGCATTTCTCATGCGGAATAGGCATCAGGAGGCCCTCTAAGAGTCTGTGATGCAGATGCTAGGTTATGCATTACAGGCGTCAGGGGAGGTCATGTAAAATTTGCGTGACAAGTCTCGCAATCTTCCAGACCCAGACATTTTTGCTGTTGATAAGAGTCTCGGCATACGAACAAAACTTTGCCTGCACGAGTGGCACTTATCCCACGAAAAAACTGTTTCACTGTGAACTTGTGATGCATAGAATGGAGCACACAGCTATTTGTCTTGCGACACATGCAAGACATCGGTTTTTTTAACGTGTTTTCCCTTAGGGAACACGCATGGCAGGTTTTCTTGGTCATGTGTAACGAACTTGTAATGCAAAACTTGCCAGATCCTTACAGTGAAACACTTTTTTCGTGCGATAGCACTGGCGCCGCGTGTAATAATACTAGCGAGGAGGTGTGGGTCGACGGCGGGGAAACGGAGATCCAGGAAGATGTTGTACGGTTTCCGCGGCTGCTGTTCGGCGATATTGTCAATATGTGCGCTGTTGACCCGGAATGCCAAGCGATTGCCGACCCGGGCTGTGAGGGATTCAACTCCCTCGCGGATCACAGAACCTGGTATCCTCAGCAAATAAAACAAAGCCCGCGCAATCATGTCGCCCAAAGTCAATGATTTACATACTTTGAGAACAACCTACTAGCAACACAAGTACATCAGAAGTTGTTTCAGAGTCACGCATGTAGTTGACATCAAGCTCCCCGCGCTTGCATTTTCGTGCAGTTCATCGGAAAGGACATCCGTGGATCTTCTTCACAAAGCCGTGTCCTCATCGTGCTCGTGCTCGCTGTCGATTTACTTTTCCATCAGTGTAGCTTACAAATTATGCCAAAACAGAAACACGGTTGGCAATGTCTCCTTAACATGGGGGCGCACGTTAGAAATGTTTTGGTTGACAAACCAGAATCTCAACTACGCCCCTTTGCCTCCACGTTTAGGCAAAAGAAACGCCCCAACGTCGACCCCGACGTCCCACCTTCGGCACCGTTTAGGCTTAGGGGTCAGGGTCTAGGGTTTGGGGTTCAGGTCGTCGGACAGGGCAGCCGCCGCCGGCCGGACGGCCGGCGGCGGCTGCCCCGGCCGACTCCGGCTTGCTCATGGTAGCTGGCGGCCCCCTGGTATGAAACTTCAACAGATTTCGCGGCCGGGAGATGATGGCGACGGCGCCTCGGTGCCCGCCTGACCTACCCTCCCTGCGTGACAGCCGTCTGCGGCCGTTTGCAAAGGTGGAGGCAAAGTGTTTCGCACTTCTGTTTAGCATGACAACTCTGGGGCTCGTTATGTTGGACACAGTGGCCGGGAGATGATGGCGATGGCACTTCGGTGTCCGCCTGATCCATCCGCCCGGCGTCTCAAGCCATCTGTGGCCATGGTGTAACTAATGAGGGGCTGCAAGTGGTGCAACCAAGGCGTGGTCCTACATTTATTTGTTTAGCATGATGACAACTCTGGCCGGGTGGGGACGTTTTTACTCAGGATACCCGGATAACTGACGCAATCAGTGCAGGCGCGAGCGCTAGCGTGAATGCTTTCGAGGCTGCCAGACACCTGCGGGCCACCCCGCAGCTAGTGCACTTCTACCGGCACCGAAGACCCCCGACTGTGACAGCCCCTATCGCCGACTTTTGGTTTCCGAGGAAACTGCGGCTGTGTCCAGCCTCAGAGATGGAAGCTTTGTTCAGCGCAGTTGGAACGGGGCAAAACGAGGCGTGTGGATGGAAGAAAAAAACGGTAACGCTAAGTCAGGCACAAGCTATCGTAAGGAGAAATCCCCCCTATCCATATTATCGAGACGAAGTTTCTAATGCAGGAATTCCGTATACAACCGCGCGCTGTCTTGCAGTTGTAAGGCAGCGCAGCCAGATCCCCAGTCTAGGTAGGGGCGTTTGGGTTTACGCCTAGTTGTTTAGCATTACAAACGGCTGTCCCCTAGGCCCAACAGCATGCCAAATCGCTTCCATAGTGGCAAGGAAGCCTCTGCGCTTGTCTTCTTGGAAGACAGACGGGATTTGTGGTCTCAAATCAGCCACGCAAATTTTCGCGGCCATACCTTTTCAACATGGGGAGCGGAGATTTTTCCTCCCAATACAAGCCGTGAATTCGTTTGGGGGAAAGTACGTGTGTGTGGGCTGGTTGGATGAAGATGAGTGCAAGGCCAAGGAATCGTCACTCGGAAGCCGCGTGAAGTGGACTAATGGCAACAACGAATTTCTTTCCGGCATAAACGGCTTGGACATGAAAGTAGACAATGAAAACGACTGCAAGTGTGTGCAGATATCAAGTGCAAATATGTCTGGGCCTGGGAAAATGCAGGTTTGTCATGCACGTCCTGGACCGCGTCTGTGGCCTGCAATCAAATAGTGCGCACAAAAGCAGCACAAGTCATCTTTCGCATGCTTTCTAGAAATGCCTCCTATCCCGCATGTTTCTCGTCACAAGAAGTGGGCGACTATCGGTGCGCATGCAACACAGATTTTTGTGTCCTCCTGAATTTGCATCACAACTTCACATGTTTCCAGAGGAGCCAGACATATTTGCAATCGATAGCAGAAGCTGACGTACGATCCAATGGAGTATTCCTGGGACCTTGTCGGCCTATCATACGTAAAAACGTCTGCACGCCATAGTCAAGTTGGCAAATCTGCATAGACAAATCAACAAGTTTTGTGAGTTTATGCATGACAAGATTCCATCTCTCTGTAGTGTACTAGTGCTGTTTGGCAAGTCCAGCCGCATTACAAAGACGCCTGCTTTTTATCCTGATGTTTTCAGAGTTCTATGATCTTCCTAGAACGCGACTACAAATCCCCCTCGTGCGGATGTGCATTTACCAGGTCTTTCTGTAGATGCAAATGATCTGCATGAGAACTACGGGGTCGTGGGGACGTTTTTGCATAGGATACGGCCTCGAGGAAAATTATGACCCAGCTGTTATTGATGCCGATTGGTGTCAGACGCGGCAGCTCGACCATTCCAATTCCACCTTGAGTCACGGAGTGCAGCAGTTTCTTGCTATCAGCCCCTCGGACGCAGCGTCACTCACCGCCTTGAAGTATGAGAAGTCGAGCTACGAGAACATCAACAACTTAGTCAAGGTCATTAGGAGTGAACAGTTTGAAGGGAGCTACGGCGTGACCCCTTCCCCGGCGGAAGACATCAAGGCTAAACTTGAGCCATCAGGAGCTTACTCGGAATATTTGTGCGTGATGCGTGTGCCCAAACCCACAATAGACGGGGCGGCAGACCTTCTTACCGATCTCGCAGTGGGGGCGGGGTTAGTCCCGCCTTCAGGGGATGCACTCCCCAAACAAAAGTCCTACGCGTGTGTGACCCCAAAAACCAACGGCACCGAAACAGACCCGGCGGTATTTTATGGTTGGTGCTTGGAGGAATCCATCAAGTCCGACTACCCCAGTATCTTCTTCACGAAGGGGCACAATGCGAATTTCGAGAGTAGCGGTCGCCTCGTTGGCGGTGGTGATACGCAGACTTGCATGTGCTTGCAGAAATTACCGATCGCGGTCGAGGAACACGCCTGGGTGCCGTACGGAGTCAATTTTGGAGATGCGGGCGAAAGTGATTCGACCTACACTGACGACTGGTGTCGGGAGCAGCAGCGCCAGAATCAAACGTTCGTTTTTGCCAATGGAGGCACGGTAACGTCAAATAATGACCTTTCCAACTTCAAACGGGAAGACAGGACACCGATCAGTGCGGATTATCAACTGCAAATATGTCTGGGTCTGGAGATTTTTGCAAGTTTGTCATGCATATTTTGGATCACGCAGCTGCTCTGAAATGCGCGCAAGAACATTTCAAGTTTTGTTCAGGTCTCCTGCAGATGCCTATTCTGCATGAGAAACTTGCTATTTGCATAGCGAAAGCGCTTTTAGATAGTACTCAATTTGGATTCTTCCAGACCCAGACTTTTTTACTTTTAAATTTTCTAGTCGTTCTCTTCCCTGTGCTGTACAACGGTCTTGTTTCCAGACAAAACACCAGACATATTTGCATTTGATACAGCTGTGCCGGATGACAAAAAGGACACATTGTTGAACTGCCTCAAACGGAAGGACATGATGTTGTACGCTGGGCAATCTGGGTTGCTGGGCTGTTACTTTCCCCACGACGATAGGATGTCTCAGACGGTGAAGAGAAGCAATGCGACAGAAAAGTACTCGCTCACGAATCTAAAAGACGAACTAAACCTGTGCTTAGGCGACGACAGATGCTGTTACGTGCGCGTTGTAGTTCTCGGCGATTCGGAGGACTATTTGTATGAGCGGCGCGGTTATCCGAAGGACGAGTGGGAGCAACTCAGCTTTGCACGCTGCATGGTCAACAAAAATGTGAATGGGCTGGATTACATGCGTCACTTCTACTCCTACAGAGACGTATCCAAGAAAAAAACTGCGTTCGTGTAACTTTCTTGAAGGAACAGCATGACAAGTTTGCACTGCATGACACAGTAGAAACCCTGTCATGCGTAGCTAGTATCAGTGAAAACACGTACGAAAAGAGCCTCTGGCGCATGTCCAGCATGACAGGTGTAAATGGCTTGCATCGTCTCCTGCAACACAAATTTACACTTACGCAGTTTTTTTCTTGGATAAGACGTCAGCGACATGTACACCGACTGCGTGGAAGTGACAGGGTTCGACGAAGGACCCGATACCGACGTGCTATCGAGTGAAGCCGGGAGCCTTATTGTGAGGAAAAATCCCCCCTCCCCATACTGAAAGCGCATCCTTCTGAAAATTGCAATTTGTGATGCAGCAGATTGGGGCAGGTGGCCACAAATTCATATCCGGTCTGTCATGCAAGAAGACAAAGGCAGAGAGTCCGCCGCGTCATTCAGGCGATTTGCAATGCTGCAAGGCCTACAGGACAGACGTCTGCCATGCTAGGCGCCTACACCAAAAGGCCCCTGCCCACCCTTGAGATCTGCGCGCGGTCCTTTACTGCGAGACAAGTTCGCTGCGTGTACACACGTGCCGCGTCACAGATCTCCACTTTGGTATGGGGAGAGTGGATTTTTCATTTTGATATGCCTCGGAGACTGCTACAGGAACTGCGCCTACGAGGAGGGCTGCGTCGGCTTCACTTACCGACTGGAAAATGCAGGAGAGTTTCCGTGCAAACTCAAGAAGACTCTTGACAAAATATGACAGCGCACAATCCCCCTCTCCCTCCTCCCCCTCATTTGTATAGCAAGAACAGCAATACAAACACCACCACACATGGAGCCTATGAATGACAAATTTGTGTACCTAATGTTTTACCGTTTAGGCTTTCGGAATTAATATTTACATTGCTTGACTTCCGGGTTCTGGTAACGCATACCCCCGGCGACAGGTGACCTTGACAGGCGACCTTGACAGGCGACCTCGACAGGTGACCTCGACAGGTGACCTCGACAGGTTACCTCGACGGGTGACCCTGACAGGTGACCTTGAGAGGTGACCGCGACGGGTGAACGCCCTGCCTTCCCCCACTAGTGCTTCGCGCACTAAGCCACTATGCGCGCGCCTGGTGTGAGGCGAGGGGCGGACGCTGTCCGCCCCGATGCCGAACACCCTTCCCCCACTAGTGCTTCGCGCACTGAGCCACCACGTGCGCGCCTGGTGTGAGGCGAGGGGCGGACGCTGTCAGCCCCGATGACGAACACCCTTCCCCCACTAGCGCCACTAGGGACGGGCACAAGGCCCCAGCGTGGGGACCCTGTCCCCACGCTCGGGTGGGCCTTGTTTGTCATACAACAAGCAGTGCTACAAGGCAGCGACTAAATTTGGGATTTTGCATTACAAATGAGGGGGAGGGGGGGTTTGCACTGTCATACAAAACCGCTGTCGCCGATGTTGGTGTTGCTCCGACGTTGTACTATGCTATCACATTGAAAAGTGCCCCCACCCCAGACGTTTCAAACGTTTTTGTTGCAAGGATTGCAAATGAAAACTTTTTGATTCTGTCTTCCAGGTTTGGAGGAAGACTATCCCTGCTTCCAATTCCAAGTCGGCAAAGCAGCTTTTGCCTTACAAGCCTCACCTGTGCTGAGTCTTTTTGCAACACAGATTTTTGCTTTCCTGTCGTGAAAATTTGTCACGCCGATACATGGAAAGTGGCAAATGCCTCCGGCGTTGGGAGCTTTGCAAGACAAACATTTCCATACTCTGGGGTGGGGGCACTTTTCATTGCAATATACGCCGAGTACGCTTCGGTGCGGATGACAAGCGAATGTCGTGCGCAGTATCAAGAAGAAGAAAAATCACCACTTCTCATATCAAAACGGAAGTCTGTGATACAGAGTTGTGGTCCCAAATCAGCTTTGTCTTGCGGAAACGAACCGGAGGCGCATGCTGGGCCTGTTTAGGTTTCTACTAGTCTAGCTCTTCAGCATGATAGACGCTGCTGTCGTAGGCTAAACCGCATTACAGATGGCAGAGGCATTTGCGTACACAAATCAGCAGCACAAATTTCCTTGTGGTACATTTTCGATATGGAGAAGGGGCTTTTTTCAAGTTTATACGCAGGTGAAGGCCCCTTGGGGAGTGCTCGCGACGCTGCATTACCTGGAAAACTATGAACTTCACCTAAACCCGAACTATGAAATGTAAAAATGTCTGGGTCTGGAAACTTGTGATGCTGGTCGGCGTATCATGGAGAGGCCACAAGTGCTGGCTCAGCATGACAAGGTTTTGAGCCTCTAGGTGTTGCCTATTCTGCATGACAAGCTGCGTTTCTGCATGACAGCAGAGTGGGGCTCTTGCGTAACGTGCATGACAGATTCAAGAGTCATGCCAGACAAGCATGACAAACATGCACTCTTCCAGACCCAGACATGTTTGCATTTGATACGAACTACGAATGCGCAACAGCAGTGGGGGCAAAACTTGAAGGCGGCCTGAACTTTAAAGCACAGGATCGCATCGATGGCAACGGGTACCACAGGGACGTGACCAACATTTTGGATTGTTACATGTGGTGCGCACGGGAAGCTGGCAGTGCGGGCGTGGAAAAGTATCAAAATGAAAAAACTTCCCCCCTCCCCGTATCAAATTGGAAATCTGTGATCATCATGCGGGATGTGTTTACACAAATCAACTTTGTGCTGCAGTAGAGGACTGCAGGCAGATACAAAGCTTGCGCAGGGCCTTTTATTTGGTGTAACTGCCTTGCATGGCAGAGGCAGTCTTGTCCTCTGCGCGCCATACAGCATTACAAATTGCGTGCAAAAGGCGGCGGAGTCTCTGGCTTTGCCTTCTTGCAATACAGAGACGATCTGTGGCCACAATTCAGCGTTGCAAATCTTCAATAGTGCTTCCTTTCAGTATCTATGGGGAGGGGGGATCTTTCCTCTCAATAAAAAGTGCGACGGATTTACGTTTGACGGTGCTGGCGAGAGCTCTGCTGGATCTGCCAGACGCTGCCAGCCAATATGAAAGTGCACGACTCTCGCACACTCGCCGCTTTTGAATGGCATCCGCAGAAAAAGTAAGAGGCAGTGGCAGAAATGTGGCTTCCGCATGACATCAAACCGTCGCACAAGTTGTATCACTGGTTGAGGTTGTACTTGTTCCGAAATTTGTCATGCGGATAGTGCTGAAAGGCAACATGTGGATTCGGTACTTTGCGCCACCAATGAAGGGGAGTAGGAGTGGTCGTTCAATCTCATAGCAAAAGAGGTGCCTACACAAGATGTGTGATACTGCTGGCGGAAATGGGAAAGTGTCGTACGCAGACGGGACGGAGCTTATGCATTGCAGAGATGTCTTTGTCTGTGCCCGGAAAGTAGGTGCAAACTTATGATGCGGATGCTGAAAAAGGCAAGAATTTGTGTTGCACACCAGCAAGCAAAACGTGTGCGATTTTTGTGTCCAGGCGGGGAGGATCGACTTTTCGTTCTTTTGCGGCCTCCGACTCGGTATGGAATTATCAACGCTTTTGTATAATTTCTCATGCTCTGTGATGTGCATTTCAAACCACGTACTTCTACTGCTGTTGTTCTCTTCCAGACCCAGACATTATCTTTGCATTTGATAGAACTCACTGCTGTGCTATTGGTGGATGCAGACGGCGATGCTGATGCCTCCACGTCTTGCCGAACGTCTCTCCTCGCGAGCGCGGGAGACATTTATGCATTGCAAATCAGAAGTCCGGGTCTGGATCTGGAAGAGTTGGAACTTGTAAAAATGCGGATTCTGGAAGAGGCAAAAATTTGTACTGCATAAGCACCAAAAGGAGCTTCCCAATTGTTCTTGCTACGTCGCCAATAGGGCATCATTTCTGATGCGGGATAGACATCAGGAGGCCTCCTGCGCAAAACCTGTAATGCGTTTGCGTGCATTAGAGACCAGACCAGTTGCTCGATCCAAAAGATGCATGACGAATTCCTGCAACCCTCTTCCAAACCCGGATGTATTTGCATTTGATAAGATTTCCACCACAACAACCACAACAACGTCGCCGCTGATCCAGTTTGCCGAGACGTTTATTCTGTGTAAAAACGTCCCCACAGCATAGTCATCAAGTAAGTTGGGAGCCCTGCAAGACGAATTCAGAAGTTTTGGAAGTCAAGCATGACAAGTTTTTCATCTCTTTACTTATTGTAGTGCAGCTTCGCTTAGGTCGCAAGACATAATCACGAAGCCAGCTCCTTATCCTGTTTACAGCATTACAAATTCCAAAACGTGATGGAGTATGCCTCACATGGGAATGCGCATTACATACAAGGGTGGGTGCCTGTAATTGCAAATCTGCAGGACAACTCTGGGGTGTGGGCCCCGCTTTTGCTCAGAATAACGTTTTTGAAGTCCTCATGTCGAAACCCACTCGGCCCCTCCCGTCCGCCAATGCCGGATACTCTTGGGTACACAGAGCAGCGGCTACCAGCGAAGTGGAATTTCAAGCAGGTAGCGTGCGGTGGCTACGTGGCGTCGAAGTTTCCGCTTGACGGACAAAAAAAGACTGTTGGTAGGACTTTGGTCGATCTGTCCGACGTGCCCATTGGTTCCTCGTTGCTGTCCGCAGACAAGTATCCTGTGTAAAAACGTTCCCACCCCATAGTTGTCGCGCAAATAATTTCCATATTCAGGAACGTTTGTCATGCGCATCCCCACAAGACGCATTTTAGTCGTGTTTTGGCATTTGTAATGCTGTAAACAGGATAAGAAACCGTACGGATTTATTACGAGGCGGCATTCCTTGCTAACCTGCACTACAACAAAGAAGAAAACTTTCCATGCGTGACTTCCAAAACTTCTAGCTTTGTGTTGCAAAGTTTCCACGTTGTCCTTGCCTCTGGGGTGGGGACGTTTTTCCTCAGGATAAAGAGAACAACGTAACCATGTCCACGCGACTGCCGACCATGCGCAGCCTGTTCGAAGTTTGTGCCAAAGGCTGCTCCCACCCCACAGGGCTGACGCGGGGAATGGAGATACTGAAGGTGAACGAGCGCGATGCTACGACCAATGTTGACGCAAAAAAGTACCAATGTGCTTGCTATCATGCAGCTGGGCAATTGAACAACCGGATCGCTGCATTGGACAGTATCGAGAAGATGGACGCCTCGGGTGCACTTGCTGCGGGCACAAATTGCATAGATCCGACGCAGGGAGAGCGTGTAGACATCACACCGAGCGACGGCACCTCTGCTTCTAGTGCCATCACCGACCTGGCAACAGTCACTGACGGGACAAACGATGTCGCGTTTCAGGTTGGCAATTACCAGAAACCCGGCAAGAAAGATGATAGTTCGAACGCGTGCGCAGATACTGATGACAAAAAGGAACTTGGCCAGTATTGCAAGGAAAAATCCCCCTCCCCATATTGAAAACATGTCCTCCCGAAAATTTGTGACGCAGATTTGTGACCACAAATCCTCTCTGTCTTGCCAGAAGGCAAATCCAGAGAGCCCGCAAGCGGTTTGTAATGCTGTAAGGCCAACAGGGCAGAAGTCTGCCATGCTACGCCCCTACACCAAAAGGCCCATCCTTAGGCTCGCGATCTGCGTGCGGATCTTTCCTGGAACACAAATTTGATTTGTGTACACAAATCCCGCATAACAGATTTCCGTTTTGATATGTGGCGGGGGCTTTTTTCACCTTGATAGCCAGACGTGCCCGTTTATCCAAATCGACCTCGGCGCATCAGTATCAGAAGGAAAAATCTCCCCTCTCCATATCGAGACGAAGTTTCTGATGCTGGATTTCTGTACATAAATGCGCGCTGTCTTGCAATACGGCATCGCAGCCGGATCCTCAGCCTAGTTAGGGGCGTTTGGGTCTAGGTGTTTAGCATTACAACGGCTGCCCCCTAGGCCCAGAAGCATGCTAAACCGCTTCCACAATGGCGCGGAAGCCTCTGCACTTGTCTTCTTGCAAGACAGTCTCAAATCACCAATACAAATTTCCGGCGACATACCTTTTCGATATGGGGTGGGAGAATTTTTTCTGTCAATAATCAGACAAGTTTGTTTCGACAGTAACTATATCAAGTTCAAATATGTCTGGCTCTCGAGTGTTGTGACGCATGTGAGTGAATAATGATCGCGCTGTAATGCGCCGCCAAGCATGACAAATTTTTTCGTAGATCTGTGTTGTGTATTCCGCGTCAGAAGTTGCGTCTTGCATGACAGAAAAGAAGATCACTTTGGGGCCTCACAATACACAGTTCCGAGGCATACCAGACTAGAATGACAAATCTCGCAATCTTCCAGACCCAGACAGCTTTGCACATGATAAACTATCAGAGTCGCCTACACGCCACAGGACGTGCGCAAGATGTTTTTTACGTACCCCAAGCCTGTTGATGAGACCTGTACGGGCGCGGGGAATGCCAATGAGATTGGAGACACTGCTTATGCATTGCATATATGTATGCGTCTGGAATGGTTGACTTTGTTGTAATACATGTCTTGCATTCTTGGAAAATCTGTGTTGCATGGGCAGCAAGTGAGCAGCTTTCCTTGTCATGCAAAAACGCAATTTCTGCTGCGTGTTGCGTACCAGAAACCGTGGCGAAAGCTTGTCATGCTTGGCTGCCATTGCAAGCGTTGCAATCATGCGCAATTCATAATTACAAGCTTTCCAAACCCAGACATATTCGCACTGGATACTGCTTCTACGGAAAACACATGGGGAAACGGCGAAGAGGACGGCGATCCGGATATACCGTGTAAAAGCGTCCCTACCCCAGAGTTGTCAGTTTCTCTTTTATTCCCAACAAAGTTTGAAACTTCTCTGTGCTTTCATTTGGTCTCTTCCTTCCAATACATAAAACACTCCAGAGTTATCATGCAGATTTGCAATGACGAGAACATTTGTACCGCGCATCCCAATGATAGGCATTTCCAATGGTGCTTTGGGATTCGGAATGCGGTAAACAGGAAACAAGGCAGCTGGATTCGTCATGCGGCTGTCCTTACTAACCTGCACTAAAATCGGCACTGCAACTCGTCCTGCGCTACTCCCAAAACTTCTAGCCTTGTGTTGCAAACACCGCATCTTGACTGATTCCGGAATGGGGACGCTTCTACTCAGCATACCGAACCGCGATGCGGGGTTTCGGGTTCTTTTGACTTCTGTCGAACGCAGCACAGACTGCTCTTCATCGTCTGGCGGTAAGTGTTACGCGTCTAGTGTGGGTGATAGTTGTCCCGTGCCTGCTGAAGATACAATTTGCGAGCACGTGAAAGCCGAGGAAAACTTGAAGGGCCTGTCTCGGTTTGTTAATGGTCCATCAGATGAGTATTACGAGGCCAGCATCGACTGCCGAGGTAAGAAGGGGCAGTACGTGATTTTAGAGCTTCCCGGCTCCCCGAGCGGCCAGGTGACTCGAGCGCTCGCTGTGACCGAGATCAGGGTGATGAGCTACCCGTACGCATCGACGCAATCTCTGTCTTATTTCTTTGAAGCCACTCCCTCCACCGAGATGGAAGACATCACTCCAGACGAGACAGGAGTCACGGCCTCGACCGTATCCCAAAGAAAAGCACACCCATAGTACTCGAAAAAATGATGCTAGTGGACAAAGTAATTTGATATGTACAAACGAGTTTTGTTCTGTACATTAAACTCCAAGTAGTGCTCATTTTGATTTCTGTTTAATTTTTGATTTTGAGGCACGAATAGTATAGCAGCACAAATCTATGATATTTTTTTTTCTGGTAGCGACGTTCTGGTGGCAAGACCGACGGTCTGACCTTTGCACAGCACAGAGAAAGGACCGACATATTAAAATTGAAAAACCCCTATAATGGCATGCGAATTGGGGAGAGACTTTCTTCTTTGCTTGGGTGTACTTTTCTGTAGGATGCAGCGAAGCAAATGGTCAGTGCACGGCCTCCAAGCTCTTGAATGTAACGTCTGACGGCTACGTGGAAACTTCTACGTTCGCAGACACAGGTCGCACTCTGCGGTGCCCCTGGTTCCAGCTTGACTTGGTATCACATGCAAATATGTCCGGGTCTGGACGACTGCTGACTGTGTCATGCAGCGACTAGCATGTTGACAGATCCTGTGAGGCCTTTAACTTTACGATACTTTATCCTGCATGAGAAACTTCCTCTTAGTTTGATCAAAAGTCGTGGGCAACTTCTGGTAGTCACGCAAGACAGATTTTTGTGCGACCGACAGGACGCATCACAAGAATCCTAGAATTTTCCACAACTACACCCACACATAGTTGCAACGCATACTTGGGTGAAGGAGGCCAGTACGTCTCGAAGGTCGACATCACGGCGTATTGTGCGGAAAAATCCTCCCTCCCCGTACATAAAAGGAAAACTTGTGATGTAGATTTGTGGTCACAAGTCACTTCCTCCTTGCAAGAAAAAGAATGCAAGCGCCGACGCGAAAGTGTGCGCCGCATTATGGAGGCGATTCGCGACGCTGTTGAGCCTACAGGTTAGGCTTTCCCCATGCTACACAGCTAGGCAATTACGCCCCTAGAGAGGCTGAGAGTCTGGCTGCAGTTCCTTACAGCAGGAGAAACCTTTATTTGTGTACGCAGTCGCAGATCCAGCATCAGAGACATTTTTCTTTCCATATGGGGAGGGGGATTTTTCATTTTCATACGGCGGAGCTGCGAGCTGAGGCCGGTGCCGCAAATGTAAACAGCGATATCTTGCGCGAACTTTTTTTTGTATATGACTCACCTCCGACATCCAACAACGACTTGGCCGACAACGAAATATCCTACAGAAAAGAAAGGCATCCGAGCAAAAAAAATTTGTTGAATTCGTGTTGCTATGTTCGTTTTCGTGACACTAAAAACTCTGTATTTCAGAGACCACAAGAAAGGACTTCTGGAGGTTAGACGGATCGAGGTCGTGCCACACATGTTTGCCATGCTGAACATCCAAAGAAGGTTTGCTTGTGGAACCAAAAACGAAAGCGTCGCGACTGCATTTTCTCCGGTTGTGCGGCTGTTGTACTTTTCTGTGCGATACGATGCTACGGATAGTAGTGTCGCCGTCAAGCCTCAAAGTTCGCCGGGGTATCTTGAGGAAGAATCCTCCCTCACCATACTCAAAGTGGAAATTTGTGATGCTGGTTCGTCGCCACAAATCGGCTTCACCTATTCTATGCGGCAAATGGAATCCGTCTGGCGTACTCTACAGCCAATCGGTGATGCGATTTTGCCTACCGGATCAAAGACTTCTGCCATGCATACTTGCTAGAAGCCCTGTGCATACCCAAACACGTTTGGATCATTCTTCGAAGTTCAAGATCAAGCTCTCGCCGCAATACAATTTCGATTTGTGTACACAAATCCAGCAACAGGGATTGTCTTTTGAATATGGGACGGGGGTTTCGTTCACTTTGATACGGGGCTTCGAGTCTATGTAAGCAACGCGGGGCGAACACAGCTTTGCAAAGACACCGGCGCAGGCTTCTGCGAGTATCCTCAAAAAAACCGTCCCCCCCCTCGTCGTTTTGTTCTCTTTTTGATTTTGTGAAGAAAGACATTGAATTTTCTCTTTGCTTTAATTTGGTCTTTTGCGGACATTCTTGCTGCTTGGTCACGGTGTTCGATTGGGTAGATGTTCCCACGACTTGTATTTGGGTGTATGAGTCGGCGTGCTCTAATCAGCATGGGTTGTCATCCGCATGGGTCTGACGAGTTGTCATGCTCTAATCAGAATAAGGTGGACATGATTTTCTTATGCGGCTTTGATAGTCGAGCACGGCTACATTACAGCGCGTCTAAAGTTATCGTACGGAGTTCGCGATGTGAAGCTTCTGGATTTATTCTTGTCTAACAGATTTCCCATCTCGGCCTTGGGGTGGGGACGTTTTTATGCAGGACAGCACCGGAGACTCGATCACCACAACGGACAAGGAGAAAGAGTGCAATGCCATCACCAGCGGCACATTGTTATCGTAAGGAAAAATCCCCCCTCCCCATATCAAAGTGGAAATCTGTGATGCGGGACTTGTGTACACAAATCGGGTTTGTCTTGCAGTAGGGGACTGCAGGCAGATACACGGCCGGAGCAGTGGCGTTTTGGTGTAGGCGCCTAGCAAGGCAGGCGTGTCCTCTGTAGGGGGCCACACAGCATTACAAATTGCCTGCAAAACGCGGCGGAGTCTCTGCATTTGCCTTCCAGCAATGGGGAGGCGATCTGTGGCCGCAAATCAGCATCACAACTTTTCGCCAGTATCCTTTTTTGGTATGGGGAGGGGGGATTTTTCCTCTCAACAATTGTGTGAAACGCTCGTCTACGACGCAGGGGCGGGTGTGAATCGGTTCAGATATCACGAAGACACAGCGGAGGATGCAGTAGGACAATATGGGACCGCGACGATTGACTGTCGTGCAGATGCTTCGGATATCAAAATGAAAAATCCCCCCTCCCCATATCGAAATGGAAATCTGTGATGCAGGATTGGTGTACACAAATCGGGTTTGTCTTGCGGTAGAGGACTGCAGACAGATACAAAGCCCGGAAAGGGGTGGCCTGGGGTAGGCACTTAGCATGGCAGACGTCTGCCCTAGTAGCGTAGCAGCGTTACAAATCGCCTGCGACACCCAGCGGAAGCCCTGGCTTTGCTCTCTTGCAAGACAGACCCGATCTGTGACCAGTGGCCACAGATCGAGTCTGTCTTGCAAGAGAGCAAAGCAGCATCACAAATTTTGAAAAGCACGCCTTTGCCATATGGGAAGGGGGGATTTTTCCTCACAATATGGGACCAGCAAAGCGGGCCGATACACGGGAGGTACGTAATAATCGATCTTCCGGACGCAAGCCAAACTCAAAAGCGGAAACTAACCCTCCACGGTGTGAGAGTTTTTGGCTCGGGCACCACCACCACAACGACGACCACTGCCACGTACGACCTTTCGCACTTAGTGCTTGGATATGAAATGCAAAAATGTCTGGGTCTGGAAGAGTGTGAACTTGTCATGCAGGTTTTCCATGACCCTTGAGGTCTGGAATGCGGGACCTAGCATGACAGAGTCTGTGAGGTCTCTTTCATGCCTCTCCTGCGTGAGAAACTCCCTCCCAACTTGGTCGAAAGTGGACAGCTTTTGGCACTCATGCAACACAGGTTTTTGCATGATTCGGATTTAGCATGACAAGTTGCAATCTTCCACACCCAGACATTTTTGCAATCCATATTGGAGTTTCCGTTTCGACGAATTCCACCGCATTTCCGACCGAGCAAATAATGGATTCCAAACTGAACACTTTCGGCGAAACAGGCGACGAGACGAGTGCTACCAGATGTCCCTGGATTCAAGCTGATCTTGGCGAGTATTCTAGGTAAAAGTGACCCAAATTTTCCATATAGTCAAGATAGGTAATTTGCTACACAAATTATCCATAAGTTTGGAGCATTGCGCATGACAAAGTCGGGCTCGTAGTGCACTCCGGTTTGGCGAGTGCAACCGCGTCACGAATCAACTACCTTGTCCTGATTCATCGAGCATGACAAATCCGAAAAGAGCAGATGAAAAAACCGCTCTTCATGATGTGGCTCCTGCACATAAGACCACACAACATTTTATTTTAGGCGTGCAGAGTTGCATGACAACTCTGGGGTAGTCGTGGGGACGTTTTTACACAGGATACAGAGTCAAAGGTCGTTACAAAGGTGGTTGTCACCCTTCCCTTCGGTCCCAGCTTTCAGAGAGCGCGACGGGTTTTTTTCAACGGAACTGATTTGAATAACGTCACAGATGTAACAGCAATGTCAGTATTGTGGGGAAAAATCCCCCCTCCCCATATTGAAAAGGCAAACTTCGAAAAATTTGCGTTGCTGATTTGTGGCCACAAATCACATCTGTCTTGCAAGAAGACAAGGGCAGATGAAGCTTCCGCCCAATTGTGGAAGCTATCTGTCATCCTGTTTGGCCTAAAGGCGGGCAGCCGTTGGCAATGCTGAACAACTAGACCCAAACGCCTCTACCTAGGCTGGGGATCTGGCCGCAATGCCTTCCTGCAATACAAAGCTGATTCGTCGTGGTCACAAATCAGCAGCACAAATCTCCTTTTCGATGTGGGGAGGGAAGATGTTTCCTTACAATAATTTGGTGAAGTGGAGAGCGGAGGACTACGCGTTGTGGTGACAAGTCGAGGCCTATTGTGGGGAAAAATCCCCCCTCCCCATATCGAAACGGTATGCTTCTGGAAATTTGTGATGCTGATTTGTGACCACAAATCCAGTCTGTCGTGCAGGAGGGAAAACGCAAGTAGGAGTCTGGAACTTTATGCAGGCGATTTGTAATGCTGTTGCGCTGACATGACAGGCCTCTGCTATGCTAAGCACCTATACCAGAAGACCTTCCGCAGGCTTAGGCTTTGCCTGCAGTACCTCGCTGCAAGACAGACCTGATTTGTGTACACAAATCCAGCAACAGAAATTTCCGTTCCAATATGGGGAGGGGGAATTTTTCACTTTGATAAGGCCGCACCGCAGCAGAGCTGGGTGCCGCCGACGGTTGCCCCACGGTCGCGCTGGAAGTTTGCGAGACCATTTCTTACGACAACTATGGCACGCAAGGCGGCGACGGCCTTGACCGGTTCGCTGATGATGCAGAGGGAAAATTTTTTGCCGATGCAAAAGCCCTTCAGAACGCAGCTGCCGAAAATTTCCAAGAGAGGACTTTGACAGTGCTGTGTCCTGGAAAGCAGGGGCAGTACGTGATCGTGGAGCTCCCCGGGACGGAGGAAAGTCACAGGCGGGTCCTGGCGGTGAGTGACTTGCGCATTTTCGGAAATACCGTAACGCAGGCACCTGTGCCGCTTGCATTTAGCTTGGCGGACGTCGAGACGGCGTGTGCGCAGGAGGGTGCTACCAGATTTACGGGGAGGTCTTACAGCCTCGGAACCGGGCAGGGGCAAGGTCAATTTGTCATTTCTGGGAACTTGAACGAGATGGAGTGCATCGGTCTGTGCGCGCGCAACGCAACCTGTGCTGGTTTCGTCTATGACACGTCCATTGTTGACGCCGGCAACGACAACTGCGCCGTGCGATCACTATCAAATGCAGAAATGTCTGGGTCTGGAAGAATGCAACTTGTGAAGCTGCATTTGAATGTCTGAAAAATTTGTATTGCATGAGCAGCAAAAGGATTCTAGTTTTTGCTACGCGGGGTGGGCATTTGTCATGCGGAAAAGGCATCAAAAATCCCTCAAAAAACCTGTGCTGCTAGGCCATGCATCACAGACATCATGGCGTATGCAAACGGTGCATGACAAGTCTCAGAATCTTCCAGACCCGGACACTTTTGCATTTGACAACCACTACCGCCGAACAAGTTGCAGAGCGGCGACTACGACCTTGAGACGGCGATATCAAATCTAGAAATGTCTGGGTCTGGAATCTTGTGATGCTGGGTGGCGTCTCATAATGAGGCCACAAATGCTGGCTCAGCATGACAAGTTTCTGAGCTTCTAGGTGTTGCCTATTCTGCATGACAAACTGCGTTTCTGAATCACAGAAAAACAGCGCTCCTGGGTAACGTGCATGACAGATTTAAGAGTCATGCCAGATAAACATGCATTCTTCCAGACCCAGACACTTTTGCACTTGATAGGCGACTACCAATGACCAAGTCCTATACGTGATGACGGAGGCCTGCCGAAACCTACGCAAAGAAAAAAGTGTTGCAGTTAGTCCACACTGTGTTGCACCACATGCAAGACAGACAACCTCTGTCATGTACGAAATGCTTTATTTCAGCTTCGTTTCATGTTCTCCCTTTTATTTTATCTCTGCAATGCAAGTTTTTTCTGTGATGCAGAGCAAGTTTGTAATGTATTGCTGATGATCTAACAAATATGTCACTGTAACTACACTTTTTTCGTGGGATAAAGTCGTGCATTAAGTTACTTCGGGAAGGACGATCTACATAACCGAGCTGGTCTATCCTGAGTAAAAACGGGGCCCGCACCCCATAGTCAATGATTGGGAACTCTGCAACGCAAATCTAGAAGTTTTGGGAGTCACGCATCACATGCTTTGCGCTCTATTGTGCGGGCACGTTTTTAGAAAGGATAGTCGCATCAGAAAACCATCTTTCTTTATCCTGTTTACAGCGTTATACAAATTCTCAAACAGGATTGCAAATGCCTAAATGTTCCTGTAATTGCAGATGTGCATGACAACTCTGGGGCGGCGGAGACGTTTTTTATCAGGATATGGTCAGGTAGTTGTACAGGCGACAAGTGTGGTATCCAGGAAAAAAAGTGTGTAAGTGTAACTTTGTAGGATGAGTAGAATTACAAATTCGTTTTGGATCTACAGAAAAAACCTGTCATGCGCAGTTAGTATCTAATACTAGCTCAGCGAAAACACGTATGGTCTGAGCCTCTGACGCAGGCACATCCAGCATGACAAGCGTGACTGTTTTGCATCACCCCCAACACAAAGTTTTTTCCTTGCATATTGGGGCGGCGCATCAGCTGAGCTGCTCGACTCGAACTCCGGCACAGCCGCGGCGACTTCTAGCGGTGCCTCCTCCTCCGCTCGCTTATGCATTGCAAAGATGTCTGGGTTGTCAAGAATGCAAGGTTTGTTGCCATGCATGGCTGAGGACACGAGAGAAATATTCGACCTGTCACGCCTAGTGAGATGGAGCACTCTCTCCTTGTGCTTGTCACACAAGAATAAATGCAATTTGAATGTGTGGGTTAATTCAGAAAACACAATATCTAACAGCCGAGAGACTTGTCGTGCGTGGCTCTGGGCAGGGGGCTTCTTTTTACCAGCATCCACACATTACCAATAGCATCACAAATCTTCAGACCCAGATCGATATTTGCTATCCATATTTATGCGCATGGTTCCAAATAGACTTAGGCGAGCCAGTGATAGTTTCCTCGCTGAAGCTGACCGTTTCTAGCACATTAGAAGACCTCCGGCGGCTTCTCTTCGACACCAATTTGGACGCAAGCGCTGCTTGGAACGCGTCGTCGACTCCAGATATTACAAAGACACGTGCCCCACACCCGGGAGTTGGAAGTGTTTCTGATGCATAAGGTTTTCTAATGAACAGCATTTTCTCTATGCATGGAAGCACTATGAGTCTTTCTGATGGAGAATCTACCCACGCAAGGCATCTTTTACGTAACAGGCCCGGCTGGTGTTGAGCTCTTTTGCAACGCAAATCTTTGCTATTCAGCAATCAAAATTTGTGTTGCTAGCACATTCAAAACGGCGCATATTTCCAATCGGAAGCTTTGCAATACAAATGCTTCCAAGTTCCGGGATGAGGGTACTTTTCGTCCTGATACCGGAGAAAGATGCTAATAAGAACTTAGGTTTGCGCATAGCACTGACCAATACCCCGCGTATATGGAAGCATCAGGATCGAAATCGACAAAGTTGAAAATGAAAAAACTTGTATATGCATAAAGTGCAGAGCACAAAAAGCCTGTATTAGAGAGCAGACTGCAGGTGAGGCCTATTGTAAGCGTGTTTAGGGGGGGAAATAGAGCTGCGAAGGAGCACGACAAAGACAGCCTTCTTTGCCCCAAACAGAATAACAGATTAGGTATGGATGCTGCCAAAATTTGTCATGCGCCGATCAGAAACTGGGTTCCAACTGGCCGGCATTTTATGCATCATGACTACAAATCATTTCGACATTGTCAATTTCGATCCTGACACTTCCATCGCGTAACGATCAGACAGTCAACGACGACACATACTGCCCCACGCTAGGCTCAGAATATCCACTGCAGATATATTCGGGTCTCGAAGCATGCGCATGTTTGTCATGCATCTTTTGGACCACGCAAATAGTCTGAAAGTCGAACGCGCGCAAAATAAGCATTGGAGGATTTATTGCACAGGCTTCTTCATCATGCCTGTCTCGCATGAACAGAAATTTGCTATTTGAATTTGTGTATAGCAAACAGTAGACAGCGTTTGGCGGTCATGCAACACAGATTTTCATGTGGTCGCGATTGAGCATCTCAAATTCGGTTCTTTCCAGACCCAGGCAGATTTGCATTTGATACATTAGTCTGCGAAACCATCAAGACCGGGGAAACTAACCCTACCGAGCGCTTAAGCGGTGGCCGCTTCCCTAAGGTCTCCCCTACCGAGGCCGCCGCAACGGTGATGTGCGGCCGCAGAATCGGACGCTACGTGATCATTGAGGGTGCTTCTGCGACCGACGACAAGCGGTATTGTGAGGAAAAATCCCCCTCCCCATAGCGAAAAGGTATGTTTCCAAAAATTTGTGCTGCTGATTTGTGGCCACAAATCAGATTTGTGTTGCAAGAAGAAAAGCGCAGCGGCTTCCGTGCCATTGTGGAAGCGATATGGCATGCTGTTGAGCCTAGACAGCACGAGCAGCCGACGTTTGCAATACTAAACAACTAGACCCATCAGACGCCACTACCTAGGCTGAGGATCTGGTGGCCGCAGTGACTTTCTGCAAACAGGGCGCACTTGTGTACGTAAATCCCGCAACAGCAACTTCGTTTTGATATAGAGAGGAGGGATTTTTCATTTTGATGGGAGGGCTTTCAGCATCAACGACGTAAAAGTGTACGGGGAAACGACAACAACGACCACCCCGGCTCCCTGCAATTTGGAAGAGTACTGCTTGGCTGAACGTATCCTGAGGAAAAACGACGCCCACATCCCATCGTCAGGATGTTGGAAATGAAATCAGCTAGACAAATCAACGAGCTTTGGTTGTTGCGCATGACAGACTTGGGCTCGCAATGTAGTCCGACCTTTAGCTAGTGCAGTAGCAGCACAGATCTAGCATATGACGCTGATTTGAGCATCACAAAAAATCTAAAAATACAATTAGAAAATGCCTTGCATGGGTCTCCGCATGATGAGAATGAACATTGAACAGCATGGGCCTGCAGAATTGCATTACAACTCTGCCGGGGTCTGGGCCCCTTGTTCACCCGGGATAGCACGAAGCCCATATAAAGTTGACTGGGCGAGCATTTATGATGGCTTCGGCACGACGTATTCCGACAGCTTCTGGTATCCCGGCTATGTCTACGAGACGAACGCAGCAGATAGTGCGGCGATCGTATCCACGGAGAGTTTGTACAGTGCCAACATTGATAACAGCTTCGAAGCGAAGGAAAGCGCGGACTTCGCAGCTGGGTCTGCCTTCACATATATCAAAATGAAAAATCTTCCCACCTCCCCATATCTTCAAACGGAAAATTTGTGATGCAGATTTGCGATCACAAAGCGGCTTTTTCTTGCAGAAACAAGGTGAAGGCGTACTTTGCTGGGCCTGTTTGGGTTCCTAGCGGTCGTCTAGCTCTCTAGCACGATGGACGTAGCTGCGGTAGGCTAAATGGCATTACAGATAATTGCCTGCCCAGTACTGCCTTTGGCTCTTGCTCCCCCAGTGTGCAAGACCAAGGCACTTGTGTACACAAATCAGCACCAGCACAGATTTTCGTGGTGGTGCTTTTTCAATATGGCGTGAGGGGATTTTCCCGCACAATATCAGACGAAGCTTGGATCTACCCGACGAACGAAGACGCACACCTATCACCACGAAAAGCGTCAACGCCCCGAAAGTTGCAAAAGTTTCTCATGCAGAGTTTCCAAATGAAAACTTCTTCTTTTTGTCGTGCATGAAAGGCCTATGAGTCTTTTCAGTGCAGAACCTAGACGACGCAAGGCATCTGTCGCATCACAGGCCCGGCAATTGTTGCTAGGTTCTTTTGCAACACAAATTTTAGCTCTTCAATGCTGATATTTGCAAGAAGGGAAATATTTTCATTGGGGAGGTTTGCCAAGTTCTGGGGTGAACGCATTTTTCATTGTAATCAAACCGCAAAGAAATTTTCGGCGGCACAGCCAAGGGCTTTTATCTCATTCGTGCTGAAGGGACCGGGGACGAGGAGTACATATGAAATGCAAATATGTCTGGGTCTGGAAGAATGCAAGACTTGTCATGCAGATTTTACACGACCCATGATGCCTGTAATGCATCACCTAGCATCACAGATTTTTAGAGGGCTTCCTAATGCCCGTTCCGCATGAGAAATGCCCTCTCCATGTAGCACAAACTGGGCCCCTTTTGATGTTGCTGTTCATGCAATACAGATTTTCTTAGAATGCAGAGACAGCATCACAAGTTGCAACCTTCCAGAGCCAGACATATTTGCAATGCATAGCACAATAAGGAGTGCAAAACTGTCTCTGAGGACTACAACTACCAGCCGGGTCCTGGGGAAGCCAGCAAACTCGATCCAGCCAATCCGTACGTGCTCCACGTCGGATATACAAGCACTTTCAGCACCCTCTGCATTCGATTCGGGCAGTGGACGCACGTAGCGGCGACCGTCAGTAGCAATGCGGGCAACTCCCCGTATACGGTCGTGCTGTATTTAAACGGTGAGGTATCCACTCCAAATGTGTCTGGGTCTGCGAAAGAGTGCCACGTTTCTCATGCTCGGCTAGCATGACTCTCATCGATCTGTCATGAACGTTACCTAAAAGCGCCTTTTTTCTGTCATGCAGTTTGTCGTGACTCTGATTCTGTCAGGCACTCCTGTGAGGTGCTCGTGATTCTGATTTTTCTCCATCCAGCATCACAAGTTTCATCTTGTTTCAGACCCAGGTATACTTGTAGTACTTGACGGGCACGACATTGGCTTCAAACTGTGCTGTCGTGCATGTTGCGGAAGAGCGCGACTCTTTCGTCACGCAAGAACGAAATTTCTCATGCGCGCCAGATAAACATTGCTGTAGAAAATTTGTATAAGCTCCTGCTTCTCCTGCTATTCGTGTCTCTCTGCTCGAAAATTTCCGAAATTAACAGTATGACAACTTTCCAGACCGAGGCATATGTGCATCGCATAGGGAGAGGTGCAACGAAATACCAACGTGGTCTTATCCAGTGCCGATATGTCTGGGTCTGGAAGAAAGCAAGGTTCGTCATGCATCTCGTGGACCACAAACATGCTCTGGAATGCACCCAGCAGCATCATGAATTTTGCACGAGCTCCTTAATGCCTAATCTCGGATGCGAAGTTTACCTTTTCCGTGGCGAGAACTGGGTAAATTTTGCGGTTCATGCAACATAACAGATATTTGATTTGTACGATTTACATTTAGTATGACAAGTTTGGATCCTTCCAGACGCAGCCATATTTGCACTGCATAGGACACGCCGGTAGTTATTAGTACCCAGGAGACCATGTTTCCGGCGGCTCTCGGGCAAAGCATTGGGGGCGGTTTATCCTATGTAAAAACGTCCCCACCCCAGAGTGAAAAATGGTCAGAACAGCCCCCCGACCCGAGCCTGCGGGACCCCGAGAGCAGAAGGCCTCAGCCCCCACAATACGCGCCTCGCAGTAGTCTCGATTGATATGTGGCCACATTATTTATATTTACGTACTTCACCTACGTCATTCTCTCCTTTTTAACTTCAACAAAGTTCGAAACTTCTCTGTGTCTTAATTTTGGTCTTTTCCAGTACATAAAACACCCCAGAGTGAAAAATGTGGACTTTGCAACGCGAATCCAGAGGGTCCGCTTTTTGCGCATGACAAGTTTGGGTGTCTAGTCGTGTAGTCGTGATTGACTAGTAGTGAAGCCGCATCACGAATGTAGTTCCTTATCCTGACTAGAGCATGCCAAAGTCCCGGACAGCATGAGAAAATGCTGTTTATGGGACTGCGCATGAGAAAAAATCATTTGACAGGTATGCAGATTTGCATGACAACTCTGGGGAGGTGGGGACGTTTTTCCACAGGATACGGCTTCCTCGATTCTGACGAGAGGATTTTCAACGTTCGGGCGTGGAATACCGTGCGAACCGAGGCACAGATTCGTATTCCCCGTAAGACCGTCCCCACCCCAGCGTTGTCATGCGAGTTTGCATGCCTACAATAATTCTCATGCGTGTGGCGCTGGGTGCGGGTGTCCACTACATGATGATGATGATGATGATGATGCGTAGCCACATGAGAGCCGTTTTCTCGTGCTGTTTTGAAATTTGTCATGCCATTATGAGCGCAAGGTGATTAATGTCGACTGCGGCTGCGCTAGTCGACCTGCACCACGCTACAGATAGAATGCGTCACTCCCAAAACTTCCGGCTTTGTGTTACAAAACCCCCAACTTGACTTTGGGAAGGTGGGGACGTTTTTATAGAGGATAGTTCGCCGCTACGCGTTAGCCGTCCGTGCGGACCAAATAGACACGACCACAGGTCTGGCTTGGTGGTTCCCACTCCAGAAGAGCTTGAACTCGACCGTCAGCGCAGAAACAACTGACACATCAGGAATTGTTTCCTCCTTTCCAAACATAACGGCCGTCGCTAGCACACTGGCGCATACAATGCTGGCAACGCAGTCTTGTGAGGCAGCAGATTCCTGCAGCGGCTTTCTTGGGTTGCCGGAAGAGCCAGCGCGACCGTCGCAGTATATCACCGCAGACGAGGCGAAGCGGAAAAGCTTTCGCTACTGTGTCTACTCTGACACTATGGATTGCAAATATGTATATATCTGGGTTTGGAAAGTTGTAATGCTAAAAGTGAATGGTAGGCGCACCGCAAACGCAATAAGCATTCAAGCATTACAGATCTCTCAAGTGCTACGTGTTGGATACTTGGCATGGTAAACTGTGTTTCTGCATGACAGGTAAGATGAACTTTTCCTGCAGCACAACATGCGTCACAGAGTCTCGTCCTCGTGTGTGTCATGTCCTCAGATTTGCATGACAATAAAGCTAGCAATCTTCCGGACCCAAACAACATGTTTGCATTTGATAGACACCATCCCGGACGATTGCTGCGATGCTGTCGCGCAAGTGCGTGACCAGTGCTACGAGAAGACGCAGGTTGTTGGTCTCTGCTCGCCCGTATGCATTGCAAATATCGGTCTGGGTCTGACAGGATCCAAACTTGGTCTGCTAAAGAATCTGAATTGTGATGATGAAGAAACCTGTGTTGCAAGCACCGCAGAAGTTTTTACTCATTTCTTGCCAAACAAAACCAAAAGGCAATAAAGCTCTGATGCGTAAAATGCACTTGGAATCGAATGCAGATAAATTTGTTATGCTTCTGGGTGCCTCCCCACCATCTCTGTGATCCACGAGAGACATGACAAACCTCACACTCTTCCAGATCCAGGCATATTTGCATTTGATGGGCCGTAGCAAACAGCAACGAATTTCCGATCTCTATCAACTGTAAAAATGTCTGGGTCTGGAACATTCCGACACTTGTCATGCACGTTTTGCATGAGCCCTGATGTCTGTGATGCATGCCCTAGCTTCACAGATTTTTTCGGAGCTTCTTGATGCCTATTCCGCATGACAAATGCCCTCTCCGCGTAGCAAAAATTACATTCCTTTTGGTACTCATGCAATACAGATTTTTCTGGAATCCAAATGCAGCATGACAAGTTGCATTCTTCCCGACCCAGACATTTTTACATTTGATAATCTCGGATTGCACGCAATAGTCTTGGACTGTCGAGCTGGTGGGAGATGAGCAGAATACAACAACTATCCTGAGTAAAAACGTACCCACACCAGAGTCAGGATGGGGATTTTGCAACACAAACCTAGGAGTTTTGTGAGTCACGCATGACAAGTTGCACTCTGCAATGTAGTGCAGGTTAGCAAGTGCAGCCGCGTCACAGATTCATCTGCTCATCCTGTTCACAGCATCACAAATTCCAAAACACGATTGGAAATGGCTCTCATGGGGATGCGCATTACAAGTCTTTCTGTCTTTGCAAATCTGCATTACAACTCTGGTGTGGGTACGTTTTTACTCAGGATAACAACAGTACGAGAAAAAGTGAACTGCTACGCCCAGATCAAGAGTACCAGACTCGACCGCGGCTACTCTTTTTTATCAGGTTGCTCCGCGGCTGACACGGATTATAGTGATAGGGCAGCTGCTTGTTCATCCAGGCTTATTTCAACAAGACACGGTTTTTTATTTACATATTAGAAGGCTCATCTTCAAAACAAAGTGCTTTCAATATACTGTACTACTACTAGCTTAGCGTTTCTATAAAATTTTGCTTTTGATGTCGTTATTCAACATCACAACAGTTGCAAAAATTATATCGGATCATGATCATATTCATGTTTAAAGCTTTGGATGAGGACGTTTTTTTGCAACAAGAATTATCTGGCCGCTTTTTTCTTTTCGTATTAAAAAGTATGTACTCAGGGAGTTCCAAGAAAAAGCCCCCGTGCGGCCCTTACGTCGTACAAGCCCTACCTATTTTGTCCCTGATGTTGTTGTGTAAGTATTTTTGCTATCAAAATGAAAAATCCTCCCTCCCCATACAGCTGCTCAAACGGAGATTTATTATGTAATCAATGACTCGTGACCACAAATCACCGATTGTCATATGCTAGAAGGGAACAAATAGAGATTCGGACTGTAGTGCTGGCTGGCGTGGAGAAGCGTGCTGGCTGGCGTGGAGAAGCCCCGCGGCTTCGGCATGACAGGAAGCACTTGGAAGCGGGAAGCAGGATGGCAATAGTATATGCCTCCCAACGGGGTCGCAACTGCATCTCCTGGCATTTTTAGGAAAAATGCGAGTCAATCTGTGTACCACGCAAATCCAGCATCACAAACTTCTCTTTCACTAAGGGGAGGGGGGATTTATTTTGCTCACAATATTTGCGCCGGCCCGTCGTTTGCGAAGCACAACTCGTAGGTTGCGACTTCGGTTGATGCTGGAGGTCAGCATGCAATACAGATTTAGAGAGTGAGGCGCTGGGCGGGGTGCGTCGTAGCACCAGGGAAACTTTTGAAAGTTTCAAGATTTCTTGAAAACCGAGCTGATTCAACTTTCAAAGTTTCCATCCATTTATGGTTTCCACCTTTTTACAGTTTCAAGCCTTTTGCAACTTTTACACATCTTACCCTCCTACAGCTTCAAGCTTCTTACAGTTTCAAAATAAAGGAAGGACGAACAGGGGGACCGGGTTGAGATCCGAGATCCGACAACCCGGATCCCGGACCCCCCCCTCCCCCCCCCTCTCCCACCTCCCCCCTCCGCCTTGTGTTTTCAAGATATCGCGACAACCGACCTGACGCAGCTTTTCGATTTTGTCCGAAGTGGGTTTGTTTCGATTTTGTCCCAAGTGGGTTTGCAAAGGGCGGGGCCACAGCCCTACTTACACTTTCCGCCCGGTGTGTAAGTTGCGGGGCCCCGGGCTTAAGTCCTTAAGATAGGCGCGGGCTTGGGGACTTGGGTTGCCGCCCCCCCCGTATTTCTGTGCTGTTGGGTCTGTTGCCAACAAAGTGCGTCGACCCCATCTCCCGGCCACAGACCTATCCCTCAACTCAGGCGCGTAGCGCAAGGCTTGGGGCGCCGGGCTTTCGACCTTAAGTCCGGCGCGACCAATATGCTTTCCAATGTTTTCATGTTGTTGGGGTACCTTCGTAGTGTTGGGCTTCTGGCCCTTGCCAACGGAGCCGACTCCCGATCCCCCCGTCCCCCCCTTCCCCGCTTCCTTGTGTTTTCAAGATGTGTGCTTTCAAGATGAACCCAGACCCGACTTGATTCTCCCTTTCAATTTTCGGATTTTTCCATGGGTCGGAAAAGCCCCCCCCACTTCGACGGAGAATTTTTCTTCAAAACATTGGGAGGCGAAAACGACACAGCTGGCGCATATACGATCGCGGCGCTTTTAGCTTCGCAAACGCCTTTATCCAGCGCGGCCCGGAAAAAGTGAAACATCACTGAGATTTCGCTCCTTTTTCCAGTGCGGCACTGAGAAAGGAATGAAAACTCCCTGCGCTTTCACTTTTTGAGAGGTCTCACTTTTGGGCCATCCCGGAGAAGTGGCTCGCAAAGCGAAACTTTTCAAAAAGTGAAATCTCGCGGAGATTTCAGTCTTTGAAAAATTTCACAGACTTTTGGACCATCCGGGCGAAGTGGCTCGGAAAGTGAAACTTGTCGCCACACTTGTGTAATCGAAAAGAAACAGTCGGGCAATGTTTTTTCCTCAGCGGGTGACGAAAGAAAAGACGAGTCTCTCATGCTGAAATCAAACGCATTCCATTTCAAGCGTGACAGTCTTATTTGGGAATCTCAGTCAATAGCTCGACTGAAAGACTTTTTTGTGTGTTGCCGCCCGTGTTCGCAATTCTTCGGTCAACGAAATTTCGCAAAAAGTGAAATAGCAGGGAGATTTTACAACGTTTTGAAAAGTCTCACTTCGGGGCCATCCCGGAGAAGTTGCTCGGAATACGAAACTTCTCAGAAAGTGAAATCTCACTGAGCTTTCAGTCTTTGAAAAGTTTCAGACTTTTGGGCCATCCCGGCGAAGTAGCTCGGAAAGTGAGACTTCTCAAAAAGTGAAATAGCAGGGAGATTTTACAACTTTTTGAGAAGTCTCATCTTGGGGCCATCCCGGAGAAGTGTCTCGGAGAGTGAAGCTTCTCAGAAAGTGAAATCTCGCTGAGATAGAAAGTGAAATCTCGCTGAGATAGATAGCGAAATCTCGCTGAGATAGAAAGTGGAATCTCACTGAGATTTCACTTTTTGAGAGTGCTAGCCTATGCAGCCCTACCCCATACATTACTTACTTGACCACCCCGCCCAAGTACTACTACGAAGCCAGTTGCCTGGAATTTACAGAAGACGGGCCAGGTAAAAAACAAAGAGAGGCCCCGCATTGCCGAGGAATGCAATCACCGCGCGCGTTGTTCATCACGCGTGTCGCTGGCTTCATAATGCAGAGGCGGGCACAGCGACAGCAGTGGGCTGCTGCATTACTTCCACCCGGGCACACTGCCGCACTGCGTTGGCCCTGGGCATTAAAGGTTGCGACTTCGGTTGATGCTGGAGGTCAGCATGCAATACAGATTTATTATCACTCGAAATGAAATAGTACAAGACCAGCTTTTTTACAAGATCGAAGCTGTCACAGACATCCAGCCAGGGAGTATGATATTTGCAAAGATGCATACTTGCCTGGATGCTGCAAGTTCTAGTACCTTCAGTTGAGACCTATGATCCATGTGTGCTCGTGTTCTGACTGTTTTCAGTGTCGTTAGTTCACTTCACAGCTCGCTCTTTTGCGAAGATGAGAAGCACTGCGGCTGAATGATTCTTTAGCCTCCACCTTCGCAAGAATGCTCTTTTAGTCTAGTTTCTTAGCCAGGAGCTTCCAAAAACTTCTTCTACCGCACTTAATATTAAAATTAATATATACGCATTTAAAAATACTTATTGATGCCAAAAATCTCGTTCTTCAGAACGGATTCGATTCCGCAAAGGATTGGCAAAAGGAAAAACTCCCCCTCCCCATATTGAAAAGGTATGTTTCCGAAAATTTGTGTTGCTGATTTGAGGTCACAAATCACATTTGTGTTGCAAGAAGAGGGCGCCAGAAGCTTCCGCCCCATTATGGAAGCGATTTGTCATGCTCTTGGGCCTAAAGGGGGGCCGTTTGCCATGCTAAGCAGCTAGACCAAGACGCCCCTACCTAGCCTGGGGGTCTGACCGCAATGCCTCTCTGCAATACAAAGCTGATTTGTGTACACAAATCCAGCATCAGAAGTTCCGTTTTGATATGGGGAGGGGGGATTTTTCCTTCTGATGAGGATTGGCAAGAGATCATGGTGGAGAGCGGCGCATCAACGACTTCTAGGATCAGAGCCATTCTTTTGGGGTCCGCAGCACATTCTTGGCGTGCGGTGTCAGGATTTCGAGCAAAACAGCTACGCGACCGCGCTGCCATTCCTCTAGGTGGGAGTCATTAAAAGAGCGACCCCGGCAGCGCGGTGTTGCCTGGTCTCGGCCCAACGCCCGTGCTTTGGCGCTTACGTGCTTCAGGCCTCCGGCCAATCCAAAACGCCCCGCCTGGCGATCAGGCCGCCTCGCGCTTGCATACTTCTGGGCAGCGGCTCCCGAACAGCGGCAGACCACTTCTTCCGGGGCTGCCTAGGTTGCCTAATTCATGCGCCACATTTCTCAACGGGCCAAAGGCTTCGCAGGCGGGGCCGTCGTTGCTGCAAGGCAGCTTGGTCTGTGTCAAGGACCCGGCCAAAGCGCAAGCTCCGAAAGCAATCATCCTGCCCCGCATCTTGAAGGCCCTCGCAAAAGACCCAGCGTGGGCGCACGCCTTGGCTGGTCCGCTATCAAAAAAGCGGCAGGCTTCGCAGGCGATATCGCACTCCGTCGGGCAGGAATGCGTTCTGAGGTGGCGGGCAGGCTATTGCCGGCGCGCTGTGCCGAAAGGCTGAGCCCGCGACGCCGTTTTTCTAGAAGTCCCGGTCCCGGGCTTCCGGATGTTCTTTGGATTCTGCGAAGAAAGGTCCATCCGCGAGACCCCTAAAAGGTTTTTTTTCCGGAACCCTCGCAGCAGTGGGGGAAGCTTCCAAAAGTAGTGTTTTTGGCTACCCCTCCCGGAGGGTCCTCAACAAGGGTCTCGCAGAGGAGAAAGTCTCCAGCTTCGGAAGCCCTCGGCGCATCTTTCCGCCGGGGCCCCGGGCATCCCGGCCTGCCTACGGGCGAAGTTCGCATAGGCCCCAGGGCCTACTGGAACTAGAGGCACGGAGGAGAAGGCGTAGGCCGCCGGGGCCTGCCGCTAGTTTACAGCTTTACCAGCGCGCCCGCCCCCCTCAGTTCGTTGTAGCTCTATCACAGCAAAAACGGCCATGGCCTTGAAAGCTTTCCCCACCAAACCCAACCGGGGCAATTTGTACCGATGGGGCTGCAGCGCGCAGGCTTCGCCGAGAGGGGTTCTGCCGCATGTGGCTGCGCTACTGAAGCGCGGCCCGCTTGGATTGGCGCCCATTACTCACGAAAGGGCATGAGGGCGCTGCGCAGAAGCAGAAAATCTGGCAGGCCAGGAAAGGGCCAAAACTGAGTGGGAAGGCGGGGCCTTTGATGTTCCCAACAACTCGTAGGTTGCGACTTCGGTTGATGCTGGAGGTCAGCATGCAATACAGATCTATTAAGGTCGCGCCCGGAGGGCGATATTGGTAACCAAATGCGTGTGCGAAAATCTAACCAGCGCGAAGGTCCACCAACCTTTTTCTACCATCGCCGCGGCCCCGCGGGCCGCGCTTTCGCCGCGCGGCCGCTTCTGCAAACGAGAAAAAGCCCCATTTATTTCTAATTTCTAGATTCCCACGTCTTGGCAAGAGATCATGGTGGAGAGCGGCGCATCAACGACTTCTAGGATCTGCTGACTCCCACCGACACAAGCGCCGCAGCCCGTGTCTGCGATGCCGAAGGTCGGGCGGAAGAGCGGGCTGGAAAGATAGGCCTCATATTTGATGAGCCCGAAAAAACCCGTCGATCGTGATCCCCCCGGAACTGCTAGTTTGTTGTTCCGGAACCGCGCCACCGTAGAAGGACGCGACTTTGGATTTTTCACCAGCCGCGGGCGGCTGCGAAGAAGAAGATCCGGAGCCCGGAGCTGCTGTCTCCTTCTCCTGCATTTTGACCATCAACGCATGCGCCTTTTTGTCGACGGCAGACGGGAATGCGCGATCTTGTTTGCTGGGACGGTAGGAAGATGGAGAGGCACTGGTGGTCTTGCCCTTTTTGCCTTTCCCCTTCGTGGCGGGGTTGGCGTTGCACTTCGAGGTAGGAAAACCAAAGCAAAAGCACGACTTTTTCATTTTGTCGCGACAGAAAAATTCCCCGAAAAAAAAAACAGCACGGAGCAATGTTCCCTACCGATTAATGGGCAAAAAAACTGTAATGAGTGTCGAAAAACTAGTGTCTTAATTGGCCCAAGTCTTTTGCAGATACCGACTTTGTATATCACGATAGACGACTACAAGGTTCGAACGATTGAAGAACGAGAAGAATAATACTTCTTTAACGAACAAGAAGGCTTACGATGTGCAGAGACCGAAGATCGTTAAAGAAGAATAAATCAAACGAACGGGGAGGGTAGACGTCCTCGCGGGTGTTAGGGGTTTAAATTACTATTAGGCTTCTCCACCAATGTTGACCGACCGGTTGAACACGAAAATGTCAAACCAGAGATCAGAATTCATTCGGTTGAGATACCCACAAAAGACTGTTCATTTTTGATGTACATTTCATGTTTCGCAATTCAGCAAGGCACGCTTGCTTTTTCTCTTTCTCGCGGGGAAAAAAAGTCAGAAAAAACATCAACAGATTCTGTTTCTTTCATTCACACGAGCGTGGCAACACAGCAAGAGATCATGGTGGAGAGCGGCGCATCAACGACTTCTAGGATCAGACGGATCGTGCCTTCTGACCATGCAGGGGTTCTTCATTTTAGTAGGGCCCACGCGGAATCTACTGACGAGAGGAGCTCTTATATTGTAATGAAACATGATCCCCCCCATATCGAAAAGAAAATTTGTGATGCTGATTTGTGAGGACCACATAATTCGTCTTGCGTATAAGGCAACCGGCACCCATGTGGCGCATTTTGCAGCGAGTCTGTCATGCGTTTTCGCCTATGTCGCACTTGTTTCTAATGCTCAGCTGCTACCCGGATGCGTACCCAAATGGGCTCAGAATAAGCCGACAAGCTCTTGCTGCAGTACAAAGCTCATTTGTGTACACAAATCCAGCAACACAAATTGTCTCTTTGATATGGGATGGGCGCTTTTTTCACTTTGATATCTTAGAAGTTTGCAAGACCTTCGGCAACGCGGGGTTGCCAGGGCATGAGCAGGAGAAAATATCGAAAGGAAACTACATCCCGCCTCCACCTCCATATCAAGAAAGGGGAAATCTCCGATGCAAGATCATTTCCGTACACAAATCAGCTCTGTCTTGCAGTAAGAGAATTATGGCGGCAGATGCAAAGCCTGGGCCGGGATGTTTTGAGCTAGGCGCTTAGGATGGCAAACGTCTGCCCTTTAGGTCCAACGGCATCACAAACGAAACCGCGCGCATAATGTAGCGAACTTTCTGGATTTGTCTCCTTGCAACACAGACGCGACCTGTCGCTGCAAATCAGCATCACAAATTTGCAGAAGCATGCCGCTTCAATATGGGGAGGGGAGATTTCTCCTTACGATAGCACAGAGCTGAAAACCAGAGGCGAGCCGATCGAGAATATCCAGTGCAAAAGTATCGTACTCGCATTGCCATCATGCATTACAAATCCTTTTCTTAAGGTAAATCTGCATTACAAATTTTATTTCTAATGCTGAGGAAATTTGTAATGCATTTATACGAGTACGATACTTTTGCAGTTCATAGAGAATATCCAGTGCAAATATCCTTAGATGTCTGGAAGGATCCGAACTTGTGATGCGAATTGCGGTTCTTCGTGCAAAGATTTGTATTGCATGACTGGCAACAGGTGCAGCTTACACCTCTGGCCATGCTGAGAGGGTATTTCTCATGCGGAAAAGGCATCGGAAAGGGGCTGCAGAAACTGTGACCATGCTAGGACCCGCATTCCAGATTTGAGAGAGGGAGCTAGAAAAACTGCATGACAAAAAATACAAGCTTTTATGCAATACAGATTTTTCTGGAGTCCTGGACAAGCAATACAAGTTCAACCTTTCCAGACCCAGACATATTTGCATTTGATACCAGGCTGTGCTCGGTGGGGATCAGTCGGTCCAGTTTCCCGTGGATAATCAGCACGGGCTGGTTGCTGATGTTCTGGATGTGCAGTAAGTTTTGAAACCGGTCTATCACAAGAAAAAAGTGTTACAGTTACAACACATTTGTTGTAAGTAACTTCAGCAAGACAAATTTTCTCTGCATGAGAGAGAAAACTTGCAATGCCCAGACCATGATAAGGGAAAACACGTATGAAATGAAGCACGGAAGCATTTCTGGCATGACAGAGGTTGTCTGTCATGCTGGGCTTGCAACACAATGTGTATACTGTAACACTTTTTTCCCACGATACGGTCGCGCCGATCGGGGAACAAACTGCTTGTGGAGGTTGTGCTCGAGCGGCTGCCGGTCGTTGCAGTTATGCAATACAAATCAACAGTTCCCGCACATGATGCACACAGTGCATCACAAATTTTTTCCTCGATGTAGAGCTGCATGCAGCTTGTCTCGCAGCAAACGAGATTGCGAGAGAAGTTTTGTGATGCAAAAACGAGTGTGCGGTATTGATTTTTTTTGGACGATAGTAGTGCCCCCCGATGCCACCGCCGGCGCCGCCCCGTACGTGATCTATGAATTGCAAATATGCCTGCGTCTGGAAGATTTTGAGACTTGTCATGCACGTTTTGCATGAGCCATGATGTCTATGTCTAATAGCATCACAGATTTTTCGAGGGCTTATTGATGCGTGCTCCGCATGACAAATGCCCTCTTCGCGTAGCAAAAATTACATTCCCTTCACTGCTCATGCAATACAGTTTTTTTTGGAATCCAGATGCAGCATCACAAGTTGCACTCTACTTCCAGACGCAGACATATTTGCAGTTGATACGACCCAGGGAAAGACCAGGTTTTTGAACAGAAAGCCGACGAGCGCAGCTTTGACTCTCGCGCCGGCGCCTACGTTATGCATTGCAAATCTGTCTGGGTCTGGATGAAGGATCCGATCTTGTGATGCGGGTTGCGGACTGTGCAAAGATTTGTGTTGCATGACCGGCAGCAGGTGCGCACTTCTGGCCATGCTGAGAGGGTATTTCTCATGCAGAATAGGCATCACGAAGGGGCTGCAGAACCTGTGATGCTAGGAGCCGCATTCTAGATTCATTTGAGGGAGCTAGAAAAACTGCATGACAAAAAATCTCGGAATCTTCCGGACCCAGATCGATAATTGCATTTCATAGAGTATCCTGAGTAAAAACGTACCCACACCATAGTCAAGATGGGGAATCGGCTAGACAAATCCACAAGTTTTGGCTGTTTTGCATGACAAATTTGGATTCGTAGTGTAGTGCTGTTTGAGCTAGCTCAGCAGCATCACAGATCTAGCATACCATGCTGATTGGAGCATGACAAATTGCAAAACACGACTAGAAAATGCTTCTCATGGGGCTCCGCATGAGAAACATTTTCAGCATGCAGATTTGCATTACAACTCTGGCGTGGGTACGTTTTTACTCAGGATATAGAGAAGACACAAGAACGATGCCGGGCTTTATCCCGTGTAAAATAAACTTTCCCGCGCCATAGTCAAGTTGGTAAATCTGCAACACAAATCTCCCAGCTTTGGGAGGTATATGCATGACAAGTTAATATCTGTAGTGTAGTGCAGTTTATTAGCAAGGACAGCCATATCACAAAGACGCCTGCTCATCCTGTAGTTTACAGCATTACAAACCCCAGAACACGACTACAAATTCCTCTCTTGCGGATGTGCATTACAGATTTTTCTGTAGATGCAAATCTGCATGCGTTGTTATCATGCAGATCTGCAACTACAGAAGCATTTGTGAAGATGCGGCGCATGATCCCCATGAAGAGGGGCATTTCCGATCGTGTTTCCCGGACGAGCAGAAAATGCTGTAAACAGGAGACGTAGAAGGTGGCGTTGTAAAAATGTTGCTGCTGCACATGCACTTGCTGATGCTGAACAAACTGCAGTATGATACAGAGAGGAGCTTGTTATCATGCGTGATTCCCAAAAAAACTTCTGGGTTTCTGTTGGGATTACATCTGCATCTTGAGGACTCTGGTGTGCGGACGCTTATTTTCCTCAGGATACGCTATGTACTCTCATCTTCTTCAGCATCAGCAGGAGCTGCTTCAGCTTCCAACATATCAAAATGAAAAATCCCCCCTCCCCATGTCAAAAAGGAAAGCTGTGATGCAGATTTACAGTCACAAATCAGCTTTGTCATTCTAGAAGGGAAAAGATGCGGACTGTAGTGCTGAGTGGCGTGGGGAAGCCTGCATGTTCAGCATGATAGGAAGCAACAGGAAGTGGGAAACAGCATGACCAATTGCCTGCAAACGAGGCCACAACTGCGGCTCGGGCTCTTGGCCTTCTAGCATTACAAGTCGATTTCTGTACTCAAATACAGCATCACAAATTTCGTTTTCGATGCGGGGAGGGGGAGTTTTTCCTTTTGATACAACAGCTTGAAAATTCCCTGGCTTTTGCTCGGAACAACGCTTGGGCTGTTTTGCGCTGCCTACCTGGTATCAAATGTAAAAATGTCCTCTGGGTCTGGAAGATTCTGAGACTTGTCATGCATGTTTTGCATGACCCAGGACGTCTGTAATGCATGCCCTAGCATCACAGATTTTTAGAGGGCTTCCTGATGCCTACTCCGCATGATAAACGCCATCCCCGCGTAGCACACACCTAGACTCCTCTTGCTGGTCGTGCAAAAATACAGAGTTTTTTAGAGTCCGAAGTTAGCATCACAAGTTCCAACCTTCCAGACCCAGACACTTTTGCATTTGATCCCTGGCAGGGAGGATCAACTATGGAATCAACCACGATCCATCATCATCTTCCTCGTGCGCAGGAGCTTGGGCAGTTCTTGGACCTACTTCCAAGCTCAAATTTCGCCAGCAGCGCAGCAGTCTGGCGAGTGGCGCGCAGTTGAGTGGGCCTGATGCCCTGCAAGGAGGTATCAAAATGAAAAATCCCCCCTCCCCATATCGAACCGGAAATTTCTGTTGCTGGATTTGTGTACACAAATCAGCTCTGTCTTGCAGTGGAGGAATGCAGGCCCATATCATGCCAATGTAGAGAGGTTTTGGCATAGGCAAGCAGCATGAGGGCTGTCTATGCTGTAGGCCCAACAGCATTACAAACCGCCTGCATAATGGGGCGGAGCATATGCCGTTGCTTTCTTGCAAGACAGACACGATCTGTGGCCACCAACCAGCTTCGCAAATTCTCTGAGGCATGCCTTTTCGATATGGGGAGGGGGGGTTTTTCTTTACGATAGGAGGCCAGAATGTTCCTCGTCCGAGAACCTCTTCGGCAGGGCGAGATGAGATGAAAATGAATAATAAAGTAGAAGCGCCGCACGTCCCGCAGCCGCCTGTTAAGAATACACCCACGTCGAGCGCAACAAGCCCAACATCAAGGCCCACCAGTTCTTCGCAGCTCGTCGCGACACAACAAGTCCCAAATGGTGGTCTGAAAAGGAACCATCAGACGTCTACTGACGCGGCCGCTGGTGCCCTGTACGGCATCTGCAGCGTTGTGTCAGCGGCTGGCAGCGTATGAGAGTGCACAGCCCCCCCTCGTCGTGCTCATCATTTCTCATGCAAAATACCCAATTCCACACTTTCCCTCCTGTCACTATTATGCATGACAAGTTCTGGCACTGGCAGCCCAAATGGCACTACACTCCTGTGCAAACTTGTCATGCAAAACCTGCATTCTGGTTGACACTTGTATTGCCGTTCATGCTAAACGAATGAGGGGGAGGCGGAGTTGTGCTTTGTCATACAGCGTGTTGCTGTTCGAAGACGGATATCAAATGTAAAAATGTCTGGGTCTGGAAGAATGCAATTAATATTTACATTGCTTAACTTCCGGGTTCTGGTCCCGCCTACCCCCCGGCGACAGGTGACCTCGACAGGTGACCGCGACAGGTGACCTTGACAGGTGACCTCGACAGGTGACCTTGACAGGTGACGCTGACAGGTGACCTTGACAGGTGACTTTGACAGGTGACCTTGACAGGTGACCCGGACAGGTGGCCGCGACAGGCGAAGCGAGAGGATAAAGCAAAGGCGAGACCAGCGCCTGGGCGCAAATATTTATTTTTCACGCCAAACTCCGCTCTTGACATGAAAAATAAATTAAACGCGCCCAAACAAAAAAATGCGACGCGAAAAATGAAAAAGATTGAAGCTGTAACACAAACTGCCTCCATAAACAAAGAAGTCTTCGCGTTGTGATGCCAAAATCAACAAGCGGCTATCTCTGCAATGCACGGCCAGGAGACAGCTTCTTACTTTGCTCTGTGGAATCGGAAAGGCGTTGCGCTTCAACATTAGAGAACTTTTTTGCAGCAGCCACACAGAGATATTCACTTTGCTTCTATTTTTGTTTTTTCTTGCGAAATGCAGTGTGCCTAATTCGCCCTTTTTCCACTAGCGCTTAGCTCACTGAGCGACTACGCGCGCGCCTGGTGTGAGGCGAGGGGCGGACGCTGTCCGCCCCGATGCCGAACACCCTCCCCCCACTAGCGTTTCGCGCACTAAGCCACTACGCGCGCGCCTGGTGTGAGGCGAGGGGCGGACGCTGTCCGCCCCGATGCCGAACACCCTTCCCCCACTAGCGCCACTAGGGACGAGCACAAGGCCCCAGCGTGGGGACCCTGTCCCCACGCTCGGGTGGGCCTTGTTTGTCATGCTAAATCTGAAGCATGCAAAAATCTGTGTTGCATGATTGGCAAAAGTCGTCCAGTTTTGAGCAAGTCGGGAGAAAGTTTCTCATGCAGGATAGGCATGAGAGAGATCGCACAGAATCTGTCATGCTAGGTCCTGCATTCCAGACCTCATGGGTCATGGAAAAGCTGCATGACAAATCGCGCATTCTTCCAGACCCAGACATTTTTACATTTGATAACGGAGCGAACATCGACGCCGCGGATGCGGTATGCATTGCAAATACGTCTGGGTCTGGAAGGTTCTGAGACTTGTCATGCGCGTTTTGCGTGCGCCATGATGTCTGTGATGCATGTGTGCCCTAGCATCACAGTTTTTTTGAGGGCTTCTTGATGCCTATTCCGCATGACATCAAATGCCCTCTCCGCGTAGAAGTTGTAGCAGAAATTACATTTTTCCCTTTGCTGCTCATGCAATACAGATTTCTTTGGAATCCAACCGCAGCATCACAAGTAAGCTGCATTCTTCCAGGCCCAGACATATTTGCATTCGATATGCGGTCGTGCGGACGTCGCAGGGTCCGGTGCAGGAGTTTAAAAAGCATGTGTATCAAATGCAAATATCCCTGGATGTCTAGAAGGTCACAACTTGTGATGCTGTCTGTGGATTCTAAGAAAATTTGTACTGCATGACCAGCAAGAGGGGTCCGGCTTGTCCTACGTGAGAGGGCATTTCTCATGCGAAATAGGCAAGAGGGAGCCCTCCAAAAATCTGTGATGCTAGGCCATGCATGACAGGTATCATGGGTCATGCATAATATACATGGCAAATCTAGAAATCTTCCAGACCCAGACATTTTTGCATTTGGTAATGTGGGGGCCAGGACCACGCTCGCTATCTTGTCAGACACGTTTTTCGAACCTATCCGGAAGCTGCCACGAACGATATTCAAAGGAAAATAAATCCCCCCTCCCCATATCGAAAAGGAAATCTGTGATGCTGGATTTCCGTACACAAATCAGATTTGTCTTGCAATAGAGGACCTCTGCAGGCATACGCGGACCCTGGGCAGCGAGGTTTTGACATACACATAGGCGCCTAGCATTTCAAATGTCCACATTGTAGGCCCAGCAGCAACACAAACCGCCTGCATAGTGCGGCGTAGCCTGTGGGGTTGCCTTCTTGCAAGACAGAGACGATTTGTGGCCACAAATCAGCATTGCAGATTTCCCACCTTGGCTTCCTTGCTTTTCGATATGGGGAGGGGGGATCATTTTTGCTTACGATAAACGATGCTCGATCACCTGTTGCAAGAAATCGCCGCAGCAGCGGCTCCGGAACCTGGACATATATCCTATGTGAAAACGTCCCCACACCGGAGTTGTGATGCAGATCTGCATGCCAAAAAAGTTTCTGATGCGGAGCCGCATGAGAAGCATTCTCTAGTGTAGTTTGGGCATTTGTCATGCTCTAATCAGCATTACAGGCTGGGTCTGTGATGCTGCTGAACAAGCTACACAGGATTACTCTACGAGGCTAAACTTGTCATGTGCAACAACCAAGGCTGCCTGATTTGTCTAGCAGGTTTCCCATCTTGACTATGGGGTGGGGACATCTTTGCTCAGGATAGTTTCATCCAAGTCCCCGACCAAAAATCCTGTGGACGAGCTCGTGGAAAGGGGTGCGCCGGTTCCGAAGCGTTATCAGGCAGTATGTATCAAATGCAAATACGTCTGGGTCTGGATGGTTGGAACTTGTATGTAATGCTACTGCTAGCTTTCCATATTACCTAGAAAATCTGTATTGCATAACCAACAAATGTCGCAACCTCTTTTGTACATGCAAAAACGCAGTTTCTCATGCGGATTGCCAATGAGCAGAAAGCGTTCAGGAAAGTTGTCATGCTGGGTTGCATTCGGAACTGTTTCGATCGTTCACATTTTAGCATCACAAGTTTCCAGACGCAGACATCTGTGCATTTGATAGTATGTGTGCAAGCACAAAAACGAACTCGACTTCTACATCTCGAACGTGTTCAGCGATCGTATCAAATGCAAAAGTGTCTGGGTCTGGAACAAAGCAACTTGTCACGCTAAATCTGAATCATGTAAAAATCTGTGTTGCATGATTGCCAAAAGCTGTCCACTTTTGACCTAATCGAGAGACAGTTTCTCATGCAGGATAGGCATGACAGAACTAACACAGAATCTGTCATGATGCTATGTCCTACATCCCAGACCTCATGGGTCATGGAAAACCTGCATGACAAGTCTGGCACTCTTCCAGACCCAGATACTTTTGCAGTTGATAGATCGCGAGGTTCTACAATGTGCGGCGACCTTTCGCCAGAACGAACCGAAAAGAGGAACGCGGATGATCACCTCCGGGCTAAAGTACATTGCTACGTATCAAAAGGAAAAATCCCCCCTTCCCATATCAAAACGAGGTTTGTGATGCTGGATTTGCGTACACAAATCAGACTTGTCTTGCTCGAGAGGACTGCAGGCGTATACTAAGCCTGAGTCGAAAGATTTCGGGCTAGGCGCTGAGCATGGAAAACCTGTAGTCTGCAGGGCCAACAGCATCACAAACCGCCTGCAGAATGCGGCGGAGCCTGTGGAGTTACGTTCCTGCAAGACAGAGACGAGTTGTGGCCACAAATCAGCATTGCAAATTGTCTGAGACGTGCCTTTTCATCGACATGGGGAGGGGGCAATTTTCATTGTAATACTACGCTGCTGCTCACTAAGGTCTGCTCCGAAGTGCACCTCTACGGCTTCCAGGATCACCCGGGGAAACCCGCCCTGTACCACTACTTTGACTGGGTACATTATCGCAACTCAAAAGTGTTTTACAGTTGCACATTGTCATGCAAGACTGGAAACAGAGACAACCTTCCTCATGCAGGAAATGCTTCGGAGCCTCGTTTCCTTCCTGTTTTCCGTTGTGATCTTCACATTACAAGTTTTCTCTGCCACACAGAGAAAATTTGTGATGCAGAAACTCCAACAAGTGTGTAACTGTCACACTTTTTTCTCGGGATATACATAAAAAGCAGGTGGATGTTGGTACAACTGGCGTCACAACCAACAAGGTCGTGAACCACGATGGCAGAAATAAAGATGAAAATCAAATAAATGCGACCAGCGCGGTCTCGTTCCCCTCGCGGCCGCCCGGAGCAGAAAAAAAAAATGAGAAAGCGAAAGTGTATCACGGCGAGGAAAACAAGTCCGCCTATCCTGAGTAAAAACGTACCCACACCAGAGTTGTAATGCAGATTTGCAAAGACAGGAAGACTTGTAATGCGCATCCCCATGAGAGCCATCTCCAATTGTGTTTTGGAATTTGTGATGCTGTGAACAGGATGAGCAGATGAATCTGTGACGCGGCTGCACTTGCTAACCTGCACTACACTGCATAGTGCAACTTGTCGTGCGTGACTCACAAAACTCCTAGGTTTGTGTTGCAAAATCCCCATCCTGACTCTGGTGTGGGTACGTTTTTACTCAGGATACCGCCGCGGATTACTTCGCGAATATGAAAAAACAAAAAAATTCGCACGACTTCGAGGTGGAGCACAGCTGGATGCAGCAGCGGTCGGATCTGCATATTACAGTGAAAAGTGCCCCCCACCCCTGAAATTGCAAAAATTTGTGGTGCGTAAGGTTTTCAAATGAAGAACTTTTTATCTACGCGTGAAAGGAGTATGAATCTTTCTGATGCAGAGTCTGGGCGTGTATCGCATCGCTTGCATGACAAGCGCCGCTTTTGCTGTGGTCTTTTGCAATACAAATTTTTGCTATTCGCGATTGGAAACCTGTGATGCTGATAGATGCATTTCGTTTGGAATGGTTTGCAATACAAATGCTCCCAAGTTCGGGGGTGGGGGCATTTTTCATTGTAATACTGCACAAGGCTGCGCTAGTACAACTCCAGCCCGGGTCTATCAAGAGGAAAAATCCCCCATCCCCATATCAAAAAAAAAAATCAGAGAAAATTTGATTGATGCTGGATGATCTGCGTACACAAATAAGGTCTGTCTTGCTCTAAGGAATTGCGGGCAGATTCTGAGGCTGTTTAGGTGCGCAAGGGTCTAGCTGTTTAGCATGGGAAACGCCAGCCCCGTAGGCCAAGCAGCATGACAAACCGCATCCATAATGCGGCGCATCCCTCACCGCTTGCCTGTTTGCTAGACAAGAATGCTTTGTGACCACAAATCTGCATCACAGATTTCGCGACGGATGCCTTTTCAATATGGGGAGGGGGGATTTTTCTTCACAATAGGGTCTGCTGTGGCGCAGCAGGACGAGCCGCGAGTTATCGAAAGGAAAAATCCCCCCTCCCCATATCGAAATGGAATTTCTGATGCTGGATTTGTGTACACAAATTTATTAGCTTTGTATTGCAGGAAGGCACTGCGACCAAATCCCCAGGCTACGCAGGGGCGTATGGGTCTAGTTGTTCAGCATTGCAAACGGCTCCCCTTTAGGCCGCCCAGCAGCGCGACAAATCGCTGCCATAATGGGACGGAAGCTTCAGCCCTTGTCTTCTTGCAAAACAAATGGGATTTGTGGAACAAACACAACACAAAGTTTCGGAAACATACCGTTTGAATGTGGGGAGGGGGGATTTTTCCTTACGATAACACAGGTGACATCACCATCGGTCCGAATATCCAATAGAAGCTATCAAAAGGAAAAATCCCCCCTCCCCATATTGAAAACGTATCCATCTCCTGAAAATTTGTGATGCAGATTTGTGGCCACAAATCGTGTCTGTCTTGCAAAAAGGCAAGTCCAGGCTGCCCGGCACGTTATGCAGGCGATTTGTAATGCTGTAGGGCATACAGGGCAGCCGTCTACCATGCTAGGCACCTACACCACAAGGCCCCGACCTAGGCTTACGAGCTGCGTGCAGTGCTCTACTGCAACACTAATTTGATTTGTGTACTGGAATACAGCATCACAAAATTCGTTTTCGGTATGGGGTGGGGGCTTTTTTCACTTTGATAGAAGCCGCCGCTGCTTGGAGTCGTCGTCGTGTCTCGTCTTGCGTTATCAACTGCAAATATGTCTAGGTCTGGAAGATTGCAAGACTTGTCATGCAGGTTTTCCATCACCCGTGAGGTCAGACATGCACGGCCTAGCATGACAGATTCTGTGAGATCTCTATGATGGTGCTTCTCCGGCGTGTGAAACTGCCACCACACTTGGCCAAAAGTAGACAACTTTTGGCAATCACGCAAGACAAATTTTAGCAAGATCCGGACTTTGCATGAGACAAGTTGCAATGGTGTTCCAGACCCCGACGCAGACATATTTGCAATGCATATGCGTCCGAGTGACTTCTCCGGTTGTCCGGATCGCGTGACCGAGAGCCCTCTGCGCTTGAATGCGGTCGCTACCTGCGACGCGATGTTGTAAAGTAAGAGAGACAGCTTGCTAAGCTGCTGCTGCACACAAACTTCTACTAGATATATTTATTACTTTCAAGATATCAAAGTGAGACATCTCCTCTATTTCCCATATCAAAAACGAAACTTCCGATGCTAAAGATTTGCGTACATCACAAATGAGGTCTTTCTTGCTGTAAGGAGTTGCAGTCAGATAAAAATTATCGGCCCGCTTCGAGGCGTAAAAACACTGGCCTTGTGGCGATGTTGTTTGTAAAAGATTCAATTTGTTGTTTCATTGAAAGAACAATTTCAGTTTCGAACCGCCGCAACTTAAAAATCAAAAACTTGTTCTTGCGGCGTGCTGAAAGGAGCTCGTCGCGGTAGGCGACAGATAAACCGAGCCCGCTCCGAATGCTCTCGGAGGTTCTTGGTCCAACTTTTTCATGATGGCAAAAAAGAAGAAAAGAAAACGCAAAAAAACCATAAATTGAAAAGAGGTGCAGAAGTCTCGTGGTGTTTACCGTTCTGGCATGGGTTGTTCGTGCAGCTTTTGAAGATCCTTCTTCTGATGCGATTCCAAGACCCCGCGCCTAGCAGATCTTTTCCCTCTTGACTACGCGGTCCTTGTGGAGACGTTTTAGTACTCAGGATATACGTGAAGTAGACTCTTTTCGTTTGTAATTTCGGAGCAACTTTTTGAATTTATTCCCCCACACGAGAAAGGAAAAATGGCGGACAGTAAGGAACTGATGTCAGGCGGTATTACAATGAAAAATGCCCCCTCCCCATATCAAAACGGAAATCTGTGATGCAGATTTGTGGTCACAAATCAGCTTTGTGATGCTAGAAGGCAAAAGATGCGGACTGTAGTGCTGTCTAGCGTGGGAAAGCCTTGCAGCTCCAGGATGACAGTGGGCAACTGGAAGTGGCAAACAGCATGACAGATTGCCTGCAATTTAGGCCGCAGCTTCGTCTCTTGGCCTTCTAGCAATACAAGTTGATTTGTTTTTGCAAATACAGCATCACAAATTCGCGCATCTTCCGTTGTCGATATGGGATGGGGGCTTTTTTCACTTTGATAGGCGAGATTCTCACTTTTGACCCAAAAGGAGGCGCCGCCAAGGAGATTGACGGGAAGCGGCTGCTCGTGACGGGAGGGACCGGGTCTTTCTACTACAATGAAAAATTATGCCGCCCCCGCCCCAGAAGTTTCTCATCGACATACGGTTTTCAAATGAAGAACTTTCTATCTACTATGCATAAAAGCTGCTGCACTCCGAGCCTTTCTGATGCAGAATCTTCTACGTGCGCAAGGTATCTTTTGCGTAACAGATCCGCCTGCTGTTCTTGGGCTCCTTTGCAACTACACAAATTTGAGCTATTCAGACTGGAAGTTTTCTTGTCATGCTAATGTACGCAAGACGGGGAGTGTTTCTTCCACTGGAAATAAGGTTTGCAATGCAAATTCTGCCAAGTTTTGGGGCGGGGGCGTCTTTCATTGTAATACTTTCGGGCAGAAGTTTATCGCCACGCTCCTCAACCATTTTGAACCCGCAAAAATTCTGGTCTTTAGCCGAGATGAATTGAAGCAGTCAGTGATGCGGCAGAAGTTTGCCGAGTTGTTTCCAGAGAAGAAAGATATCCAGTCTAAAAACCTCCCTATCCCATAGTCAAGTAGATGGGGAATCTGCTACACAAATCCACAAGTTTTGGGAGTCACGCATGATAAGTTTGCATCTGAAGTGTAGTTCTGTTTATCAAGGCCAGCCGCATCACAAAGACGCCTGCTTATTCTGTTTGCAGCATTACAAACCTCAGAACACGAGTGGAAATGCCCCTCGTGGTGATGCGCATATACAAATCTTTTTGTAACTGCAAATCTGCATGACAGCTATGGGTGGGCACGTTTTTTCTCAGGATAAAAGATGTTCTGGATTTTGTGCTCGGAGACGTCCGAGACCTTGGGCGGCTGTGCGAGGTATCAAATGTAAATATGTCTGGGTCTGCAAGATCCATCGCCATGATTGTCATGCATATTTTGCGTGACCCACGATGTCTGTAATGCATGTCCTAGCATCACAGATTTTTACGGGGCTTCCTGATGCTTATTCCGCATGAGAAATGCCGTCCCCGCGTAGCACAAACTGGGCAACTTCTCTTGCTGGTCATGCTGCAATACACATTTTTTTGGAATCCAGAAACAGCATCACAAGTTTGCGTCCTCCCAAACATCCAGGGATATTTGCAGTTCATACGAGGTTTTCAAAAAGCTGGACCTGGTGATCCACGCGGCCGCACTGAAGCAGGTGCCCATGCTGGAGTACAATCCTTACGAAGCAATCAAGACGAACGTCCTATCCTGTGCAAAAGTCTCGTCCTCGTAGTAATTGCAGCAATCCAGACACATTAAGTGCAAATCTTTTTCTTCAGGTAAATCCGCATGACAAACTTCATTTTTCATGTTGAGGAAATTTGTCATGCATTGATGCGAGTACGATTATACTTGTGCAATTCATAAGCCCTTGGTGCCAACAACGTCATCCTCGCGGCGACACAGTGTGGCGTATATCGAAGAGAAAAATCCGCCCTCCCCATATCAAAAGGAAGTTTCTGATGCTGGATTTGCGTACACAAATCAGGTCTGTCTTGCAGTAGAGGACAGCAGGCATATGTCAAGCCTCAGTCGAGAGGTTTTGACGTAGGCGCCTAGCATAACAAACGTGTATGCTCTAAGCCCAACAGCATCACAAACCGCCTGCAAAATGCGGGGCGCTCTCTGGACTTGCCTTCTTGCAAGACAGACAGGATTTAAGGTCACAAATGCGCATCACAAATTTTCAGCCGGATACGTTTTCAATATGGGGAGGGGGGATTTTTCTTTACGATAGCGTCAAAAAGATTGTCGCACTGAGCACCGACAAGGCTGCCGCACCCGTGAACCTGTATGGCGCTACCAAATTGTGCCAGGACAAGCTGTATGAAATGCAAAAGTATCGTACTGTCGTATAAATGCATTACAAATAATTTTCTTAGCATGATGAGAAATGAAATTTGTAATGCGGATTTACCTTACGAAAAAGATTTGTCATGCATGACTGCAATTACTACGAGTGCGATATTACAACTTTTGCAGTTCATAAGCTGATGGTAGCGGCGAACCACGTGCAGCAGGACGGGCCCCAGGTGGCGGTGGTACTATTGCAAGGAAAAATCCCCCCTCCCCATATTCAAAGCTCATCCGTCTGATCATTTGTGATGCAGATTTGTGACCACAAATCGGGTCTGTCTTGCAAGAAGGCACATCCAGGCTGTCCGCCACGTTATGCAGGCAATTTGTAAAAATATTGTAAGAGCTACAGGGTAGGAGCCGTCTACCATGCTAGTACGCGCCTACACCGATAGGACCTTTCCTGAGCTTGGAAGCTGCGCGCAGTCCTGCGCTGGAGCACAAATCTGATTTGTGTATCCAAATCCAGCACCAGAAATCTCGTTTTGATATGGGGAGGAGGAGCTTTTCCTTTTGACAGGTACGGTACGGAAACGTGTTCGGCAGTCGCGGGAGCGTGGTCTATGGATTGCAAAAATGTCTGGGTCTGGAAGATTGCAACTTGTCATGGTGAATCCGAATCATGCAGAAGTCTGTGTTGCATGAGTGCCAAAAGCTGTCCACGACTTTCGACCAAGTTTGGAGGGAGTTTCTCATGCAGGATAGGCATGGCAGAGACCTCACAGACTTTGTCATGCTAGGTCCCCCATTCCAGACCTCCTGGGTCAAGAAAAACCTGCATCACAAGTTTACACTCTTCCAGACCCAGACATTTTTGCATTCGATATGGTCCCGATTTTTTTGAAGCAGCGCGAGTCGGGAACGCTGACGGTGACAGATCCCACAATGACGAGGTTCACCATCACGCTGCAGGAGGGCGTTGCCTTTGTCCTCAACTCCCTGGTGCGGATGCGTGGCGGCGAAATTTTTATTCCCAAGCTGAGCAGCTACCGTGTGGGAGACATGGCAGAAACGATGGCAACCTGGCAGGACTACCACTGCCAGATCAAGGACATCGGTCTCCGGGCCGGCGAAAAAATGCACGAGGTAATGGTGCCCAGGGACGAATCTCCCAACTATCAAGTTGAAAAATGCGCCCACCCCCGAATCGACGTTGGGAGCATTTGTCTTGCAAGCCTTATTTCCAAATGAAACATTCGCCCTCTTGCAGCTATCAGCATCGCAGATTTCCAACCGTGAATTATTATGGCAAACACTTGTATTGCAAAAGACCCCAGCAACAGTGGCGCTTGTCATGCAACCGATGCGGTACACACCTATACTCTGCATCAGAGAGATTCATACTTCTTTCATGCATGACAAAAAAATTGCATTTGGAAACTTCGCATCACAAGGTTTTTCGGCTTTGGGGGTGGGGGCATTTTTCACTGTAGTAGCAACACGCTGGATATCAAATGCAAAAATGTCTGGGTCTGGAAACTTGTGATGCTGGGTGGTGTCTCATGATGAGGCCACAAATGCTGGCTCAGCATGACAAGTTTCTGAGCTTCTAGGTATGTCCTATTCTGCATGACAAACTGCGTCTCTGCATCACAGAAAAATGGAGCTGTTGGGTAACGTGCATGACAGATTTAAGAGTCATTCCAGACAAGCATGACAAACGTGCAGTCTTCCAGACCCAGACATTTTTACATTTAATACTGGAGTTTCCGTATTTCTTCATCATCTGCCCGGCAGGGTCCTGGTGGGATCCCTATCCTGAGTAAAAACGTCCCCACATCACCAGAGTTGTCATGCAATTCTGCATGCCAAAAAAGTTTCTCATGCGGAGCCCTATCAAAAGCATTTTCCTTTCGTGTTTTGGAATTTGTGATGCTAGACTCAGCATGATGTGCTAGATCTGTGATACGTCTGAGCTAGCGAAACAGGATTAGTTACACTAGGAGGACAAGCTTGTCATGCCAAACAACCAAAGCTGTGTGATTTGTCTAGCAGATTTCCCATCTTGACTCTGGTGAGGGGACGTTTTTACAAATGGTAATCCCGTGCGCGCGTTTTACAAGCAAGAGTGCGGAGCGCAGGTGGTGCCCGAGTTTTTCGAGTATCAGTCTGGCACCAACCCGGCTTTTGTGAACGGAAAGGAAATTGCCGAACTGCTCGATGGCTACGTTGCGGAAAAACAACCCGCAAAAGGACCCCAAAAGTTGTCCTTGCTCGGGAAGCAAGTAGACGTCACGCGGCTGCTAAACTAAGCGGGCGAGGTATCGTGAGAAAAAAATGCATACAGTTACACACATAGTCTATGCAGGCCAAACAAGACGAAGACAGAGAAGCCCTGTCATGCATTACAAGTTTTCTCTCTTATCTGCATTACAAGTTTTCATCTGCATTACAAGTTTTCTCTCTTATGCAGACAAATTTGTGTTGCTCAATCGGCTACAAATGTGTAACTGTAACACTTTTTTCCTGGTATACGAGGAGGAGGAGGTCGTACTTGGTCTTGATATCAAAAGAAAAAATCCCCCCACCCCATATCGAAATGGAAATCTGTGATGCGGGATTTGTGTACACACATCGGCTTTGTCTTGCAGTAGAGGACTGCAGACAGATACAAAACCGGACTGAGGGCGTTTTGGTGCCGGCGCCTAGCAAGGTAGGGACATTCTCTGTAGGCCAGACAGCATTACAAATTGCCTGGAGAACGCGGCGGGGCTTTTTTATTTGTCTTCTTGCAATACAGAGACGATTTGTGACCTCAAATCAGCATCACAAATTTTGATGAGTATCCCGCTCTGGTATGGGGAGGGGGGATTTTTCCTCACAATAAGTAGGTGTTGATGTTCTATCTTTCTGCGGCTGAGTACTGGTTGTATAGTCTACTTTTTCAAATATTATATAATTTGTGATGTGCACCTCCTGCACGAGGGTAGACACGAACAGGTGGCGCGGGGGCTCAAACCACGAACAGGTGGCTCGGCTCAAACCACAAACAGGTGGCGTGGCTCAAACCACGAACAGGTGATTTGTGGTCACAAATCAACATGCTACAAAATAAATCCCCGTTTTGATTATATGGGGAGGGGGGATTTTTCATTTTGATACTATGTCCACTTTAATATTCTTTAGACGTACTATTATACAACTCTTCTAGAGATAATAAAAGTGCAGTTTTGATAATTATTGTTGTGCAACTTTTTGAGAAAAACCTTTGTCGCAGATGAAAGTGACGCTGTGAGACCTAGAAATCAATGGACTCCGCTCGGGCAGGGTCGTTTAAGGTTTCCCGGGAAACCTTCGGTTTAGCTCGTGCCAAAGTGTGTTGCAATGCAACCGAAAACGCGGCGCGCGCATGGACTCCGCTGCTGTTTGTGTGCACAACCGCGCCGCGTCTGTGTTGGCGTCTCGTGTGCCCAAATC